GTTGCAGTGTACAATCTGAAACCATATAAATGTTTTCATACTCTGCTACAGTAAAATCCAATGGAAAAATAAAAGCCTGTAATTTATTATTTGGAATATCCTGACCCAAAGATAGGAAGATATGAACTTTGAAAATAGAGCAGGAACTCCATTTTTCATTCCGTGCCTCTAAATCTCATTTGGAATTCTGAAGTCATGTTACGGCACCTAAGTCAAACCAGATTTTATTCATCTAGTTCGATATTCTCCAATGAAAGGAATAGGAGCCAATGTTTGTACCTTGCAGAGAGATTTTATTAAATCAAGATAGTCCTACTTAAACCTACATAGCTCTATGGCAGGCATCGTGTGCTATAGGACTTCTAACTGAAGTACCATTTATCACTAGTTGTGTGACATGGCAATATACAATTTAGGTATTAATGTAGCATAGATTAAGTCAAATTGTTGCCATGGTGGCTTCAAGGTTACATTCATTCATGTATGTAAAAAGGCTTTTCCAAAAGACTCAGTTGAGTCTTAAGTTTTAATAACTTTGCAAGCCTAAGTGCTATATACTTAGATACAAGTTTCAAATAAACTGTGTTTGAAAATTTAATATTTGCATTTCTTTTACATTTATACAGCTTTGTTAACTTTGAGTAACATTGTTTTCTATATTTTAAGGGTTTAGTCCCTCTGGATTGTTTTTTATTCATTTGAGAGATAGCATGTGCCAGATGTGGGACTCGATCTCAGGATGCTGGGATCAACACCTGAGCTGAAAGCAGACGCTTAACCGACTGAGCCACCCAGGTGCCCCAGTCCCTCTGGTTCAAGATGGAAAATATTGGCTGAAACAAGACATTAAGTCTTTGGGAACAACTTATGTTTTCAGTTTGTGCTTATTGAAATGTTTAACAGATTAACTTTAAGACTTGGCTATTACCAAGTTTAAATGAAAACATGACTTGAAAGAAAATTATATTGCAGTTTTGATTAAAAAATAATTCTTGCATTTATTTTTAAACTTAGTTTATTTAATCACACATTTGTAGAAAAGGTGAAATTACAAGAAAAATATTTTCACCCGGAATCCTTAAAAGTAAGTTGTCCCTTGATGACCCATTCATTCACCTGTCCATTTGGAGAGGTATGTTATAGTTAGGTAGAAGATATCCCTGGTTGTAGGTCAGGGATATCTTCTACCTAACTATAACACACCTGTCCAAGTGGGAAAATTAACATTGTACATTTCTAGTATCTAACCCTCAGACTCCATTCAAATGTTTCCAGTTATCCCAGTAATGTTGTGTATTATAAAAGGATCCAGCTCAGAATTCCATGCTACTTTGTTGTCATGTATCTTTAACTCCTTCAATCTAAAAATGGTCCTCTCTCTTTCCTATACTTCCGTGACCTTGTGGCTTTTGAAGACTATTTCGTGGCCTGTCCCTTAGTTAGGGCTTGTCTGCTGTTTCATTGTGGTTAGATTCATGTGATACCGATTTGTCAAGGATCAGGATTTGACATGTTCCCATCAGACCTTGAGCACTTCCTTGTCTTTTGGTACAAAAATACGTTCCCTCTCAAATTGTCCCTTTCCTGCCAAGGCCCTGAGATCAGCCATTTGTCTGAGGAGCTCTGGTTCATATGGCGGACCGTGGCCTTTAGTATCCAACATGTGGGCTGTGCTCAATCTTAGTAGGAAGTTGCTGCCCCAGGCCCCCTCGGTTGAGAAGGTAAGGTCAATGTTGACATGTGTATCTATATCCATTTCTGTACCTACATATAACTGCATCTCTTTGTTTATAGAGAAAGAGTAAGACGTGTCTACACACATTTCCGTCTCTGTGTATGACTCTATCCCTATGTTGAGAACGATGAGGACTGTTCACATCAGTACCTCCAATTCCAACCCAAGGATCAAAGGTTCATTCCAGATCTCTCCTTTTCAGTGTTTGCTATGCTCTTCTCCAATGGTGAGATACCTGGGTCCTATGATCATTTGCGTATTTTGGTACTTGGTTCCTTTGTCTGTGGTAACCGAGCTCCCATCGCTGCTCTGCCGCACCCCATGTGATGCCCTCCTCACCATCCTTAGGCTCTGATACCTCACGCTGGGACACTGCCCTAGCCCGGGAAGTCCTCTTCACCCCACCCCACTAGGACTTGGATTCCCCATTCTCACCTTGTTTGGGCCCCCTCCCTGCTGTGTGCTTATCCTACTCACTTCCTTGGGCTCTGCCATCCTGCACCAAGCTGCTCTCCACTGCATGGACCCTTTGCTTTGCCCACCCAAGCTCTTCCACCCATTCCAGGTCATGGGGCTCCACAGCTCCCCCTTGGCTCTCCTTGGTGTAGAGAGCTGTTTTGTTCTCACCTTAAGGACCAACCTGCTTATGAAAGGAGGAGAAGAGGAAAAGCCCAAGTAATTCCTAGATAATGTGTGTTTTAAAGAATATATTTGCTGAATGTTGTTGGACTCCGGAGAAGAGCTGGCTGGAGGCAATATTTCCATGGTCTCCAATGCTGATTCTGGATTCTCTGTGTGTGGGGGAGACAGTTCTATTTACTGCAAGTACCACATAAAGCTTTGCTTTGGACTATTTCTGCTAGAGTTTGGATGGAGACAAGATGCCATTTATTGAGGTAAAGAGGAAAATAATCAAGAAGATTTCCCTCTTAAATCTCATCTCATTTTCCTTCTTCCTTCATTCCCCAGAATAAAATTGCTGTGCAGCTTTGATCCTAGAGCTCTGCCTTACCCATGATCTCTCGAGTCTTCAAGACTTGTTCTCTCACTTAGAGTCAATGATGGGAAGTCACCAAATGGGTCTGAGCAGGAAAAAGGCAGAAGACTGTGAGCAAACACTTCATTTCTAATTACTAAATGGAAAAAAGGCATGACCATGTTGTCCATCTTAACGTTTTTCTAGGGTGAGTGGTTTAAAGCAGACAGTGGATGCATCAGAGAAATTGTTTTATAGTTGGGGTGCTAAATGATAGGCTGGTTCATCAGTTAAGAAATTATTTACACCATTTACACAAATTTGCCTCAGTTTCGCTCCCTGACTTACTGCGATCACCGTCATTAATCAATAATTACTCCATTTTATACTAAATCTAAGTATGATGTAATAAAACGTAATGCCTACTGGGAATAGCCTGCTTCTTCCACATAAGAAAAAATGTTCATTATGCAAAGTTCTGTTCCCTATTTAGAGGAAGGACTATTAACCAAATATTTGGGCACTCGAGAAACACTTTCAGGGCTGTTGAAATACCACAGAAACTACTATGTAACCATATTTTGATTTTCAACAGATGGCCTGGAGCTACAAGCCTAGATGCTTCTCTGGTGGGATCAGTGTTGGCGTCACCCACATGGGGTGACCACGGTCAGAGCCACTGAGGGCACAGCAGGGTGGCAAGACTGAGGAAGGGGGACACAGACAGCCATGCAGGAGGCAGGCAGGGGTTATTGGAGAGGGAGAAGGAAGCCCAAGGGAAACAAGGAGGGAGAGGAAGAAGATGAAGAGAAAAGCAAGAGAGAAGGCATGTGGCATGGTTACTGTAAATTGAGACTGTGACCGAAGGAGTGATAGGAAACAGAGAACAAATGTTCTAGAAAACACCGGAAGATACCTCGTACATGAACAGTTCGAAGACATGGTGATATTTTATTGCCTAAGTTTTACATTTCTAAATTTAGAGAAAAAGCTCTCTGACCTATGACCCATGGTCAAAGTCTGAGGGACTGGGGCTTTGGTTGGTTTTCGGGGCCACATCCCAGACCTCCCACTCACTCAGGGAGCATCTTCTTGTGAAGGGGATACAACAGGCAACTCTGGTTTTTTTGCATTTTCATTTGTGGCTGCATCAACTTACACAAGGGGGAGGGGAACCCGAGATCACGGGGCCTTGAGCTTATACAACATATTTAAAGGTTTTTTAAACCGACATGGTGTTTTATCTTTACATCCCTCTGAGGTAGATCGGAGATCTGTAGTTTTTTACCCCCATTCTACAAAAGCAGAATCCAAATGAAAACAGAATTACATCAAACACACACAAAGTCTAGAGTGGGACGATTTGCCTCGGCCATCCTGATTTAGTCCGGGGTGAGAGAACTCAGCCAATTCCTGATGTGGTAACCGATGAACGTGTTTAAAGTTGTCCCCAGCACAAGCAGGTTCAACTTGGCCAAATGAAACCACGTTTCCAACTTCGTCTCCTGAGTGCAGAGCTGAAGAGTGTGGTCTGGTTAGCCTTTTTGTTCTCTTTCTCTTTATTTGACTACCTCCCTTTATGCTGAAGTTCAGTCCCTCATGGCTACCGTCTGTTGACATCCTTATGTTTGCTCCTACACTTGGGCTGAGTGAGTGTCCGGCCCACAGGAAGGGATGCGGTCTCTGGCTTCAGGAAGGTTCCTTCTTGTCCTTCCGGCCTCTATAACCCAAAGGGCACTTCATGGATCCTGCGACACCCTAAACTTCAGTGGCCTGTAAGGTGTGGCACAATGTGATAGGCCCTGTGGGAAGAGAGAAATGGGCTGAAGACCCACGTCTCGTCCTTAAGGCATGTCACGTGGCTCCTACAACGATCTGTTCCTTCTTCCTAAAATGTTTTTGCCTTGGCTTCTCTATGTCCTCGTGAGTATTATTTTTCTGGCTTCTCTTTCTTTGTCTTGTTGTGTTATTGGCTCGTGACCCTTTTACATATTGAACTCTGTAAACCCCAGAGCAATGCAAGTCTGTGTTTCCCTCAGAGAAGAATGTGCTCCGTTGGCCAAGCATCTAATACTCCGCTGGCTTTCCCGACAGAATAAGCAAGGCTTTCTAAGGTACATTTGTTTTCATGAGGCACCCTGAGTCAATTCTGTGGCTTCACAGCCCAGCGTGAAGTGAAATCTTCCCCTGGGTTGGCAGCATCCTTGGGAATCACGGAGTCTCAGGGCCAAACGTGACAGCCTGGGAAGAACAGGAAGGACTGGGAGGAGCGAACGTGACTGACATAGGAATAACAACACACGTGGGTTTGCAGACTCACGAAGCCCTGGGAGACCCAAGTGGGAGCGAAATCCATCCACGCAGGCTGGAAGGGCGCCCGTCACACGTTCCTCCGTAGCCATGCCGTCATCCTGGCACTGCGCATCTTGTTTTCCAGATTTTTGTTCTTTATTGTCTGTAATTTGGCGTGGACTGTGAGCCTCTGGTGCTCTTCCAACATGTTGCCGAAAAACTGCTGTAGCTGCAAGCACCAAGGGATGGCGGGTCAGTGCAAACTCGTGTCTCGTTGAGACAGAATAAGGCAATGTTCCCGTGGAGGAGCGATGGGATTTTTGCAAATGGCGCGCGCAGGGCGGCCAGGGTGGGAAGGAAGGTGCGGTCCCCGGACTGTGGGTTCCTGGGGGAGGCCCTGCCTGAGAACAGGGAATGAAGACCACGCCTACCCTGAAGAATCAGGGGTAGACCAGAAGCCCCATGAAGAGGGAGCTTCATCTCTTTGCTCCCCGGAGCCCAGAGCAGGTGCTCGGTAGCGACCCACCGAATGCATCCTGGATGTTATCTCCAAAGAAATCCTGCAGCTTCCAAATCTCAAAACTGGCACCTGATATCCATGCCTTCATAAGTGTTATCGTTTATTTAGGAGAACTTAGAGACTGGGCTTGTCCACTGGCCAGATGCCATCACTGACTCAGCTCTAGCATTTAGTTACAGGAACATCTGCCAGACCCCAGTGAACTAATAAGTCATATTGCACGAAGTCTACTTCTGTGTCACTGGATTCAAACTTATTTTTCTTCCAAATTTTTATTCAAATTCTCATTCATTAACACATCGTGTAATAGTGATTTTGGGGGTAGAATTTAGTGATTCATCACTTATATGTAACACCTTGGGCTCATCACAAGTGCCATCCTTAATGCCCATCCCCCACCCACCCACCTCCCTCCATCAACCCTGTTTGTTGTCTATTGTTAACAGTCTCTTATGGCTTACTTCCCTCTCTCCTCTTTTTCTTTCCTCTTGTCATAAGTTCATCTGTTTTCTTTCTTAAATTACACATATGCATGAAATCATATGGTACTTGTCTTTCTTTCTCTGCCTGACTTCTTTTGCTTAGCTGTATACTCTCTAGCTCCAACCATACTGTTGCAAAAGGCAAGATTTCACTCTTTTTGATGGCTGAGTAATATTCCACTGTATATCTATAAAGACCACATCTTCTTTATCCATTCATCAGTCCATGGGCATCTAGGCTCTTTCCACAGTTTGGCTTTTGTTGATAATGCTGCTATAAACAGCAGGGGGCATGTACCCCTTAGAATCTGTATTTTGTATCCTATGGGCAAACATCTAGTAGCATAATTGGTGGATTACAGGGTAGGGCTATATTTAACTTTTTGAGGAAACTCCATACTGTGTTCCTGCATTGGAACTTAGAACATATGAGATGACAGTGTATCTACACCAGCTCACACATGTCACTTAAACCCTAATGTACTTGAAATTGAGGAGTAATAGGGCCATTCAGCCTAATTACCACATAAAAGAAAAGTAAGTTTTTCTTTTTTCTTTTTTTTTACATTTTCTTTTTTTATTTGAGAGAGAGAGAGTGAGATCATGAGCAGGGGGAAAGGGTGGGGAGAGAAGCAGACTCCCCAGGTGAACAGGGAGCCTGATGTGGAACTCGATCCCAGGACCCTGGGATCATGACTGAGCCGAGGGCAGCCACTCGTGTCCCCAAAAAGTAAATTTTGAGCAAAAAGTAGTCGAAGGGACCAGGAACAATCTCCTGCCCTCTCCCACAGCTGCCCACAGCCCGGGACCACCTGTAATGTGGGGGAGGGGAGTAGGTGTTTGTGGGATTGTCGGTGGGGCTTCATGCATGCTGGGAACATGAGGCCAGATTCTCTCTGGGTAGAGTATGAAGACCAGAACAAGAGATGTGGAGAGTGTATAGACACTGCACTGTTCTAGAAGGAGAAGGCAGGCATGCAACTTCTCATTTCCATTTTACTCATTATTTTCAAGATGATCCCATCAACAGACAGATGATAGCGGGACTATAATCTATAAGTGATCAACAAGCTTTGACAAGAATATTCATAGTAGCTAATTTACCTGTTTTCAAAATGGCAAAATTTCACCACGGCTCAATGTACATTTGCATTTTTTTTTTTTTAAAAGAAACTACCAGTGACTCTAGAGTTTTGGAACTCTGAGGACTGCTAAATTTATACGCACTTTGTTCATTCATGAAACGACAACAACAAAAAAAATTCCCTGGGTTCTGTGGATACAAAGATGAACTGAGGCCCTTTAGATGTTGGCACAAACTCAGCCTTCCTTCCGGAGCCTTCCTTCTGGGGTGTCTGGCTGTGTCCTTCCCTCTCCTTTCTAGGGAATCCCTGATAATCCCTGAGGCAGCTCAGCCTCAGGCAGGCCAAAACCCACACAAACAGAATTCCTTCAGGAATTCGTGATTCTTCCTCTCTCATAACAACAACTGCATACTCCTGGGTGGCTCAGTCAGTTAAGTGTCTGCCTTTGGCTCAGGCTGTGATCCCGGAGTCCTGGGACTGAGTCTCACATAAGGCTCCTTGCCCAGCTCCTGCGGAGCCTGCTTCTCCCTCTGCCTGCCGCTCCCCCTGCTTGTGCTCTCTCTGACAAATAAATAAATAATAATGGTAAAAAAATAACAACTACATAGCTGACTGCTTCTCTTTTTTTTTTTTTTGGCTCATGATCAAACTTCAGGCCTTTATGACCTATATGTTTATTGGTTTATTTGCTAGGACAGCTAGGCAGCTGATTTTCCTTTTTTTCTTTTTTTCTTTGCCTTTAAACCAGGTCACTGTGTGGAGTGGACCCAGCAAGCTCCTATTCCATCTCCCTGCTCCAAAAATCCGTTTACTATCTTATCTTTGGATAGAGGATACATCCGATATTAACCTGGTAAGAACAAATACTCCCCTTGATCTCAGCCAAAAGGCCAAGAAGCAACTGATTTTTCCTTTCTTATTTATACAGGCCCTTTCTGTTTGTATTAAAATAGTTCTGGGCCATGGTGTTTAATTTGAGCTCAGACATTTTTTTCAAAACAATTTACTGAACTCTACTGAGATGAAACTGACAGACAATAAAATGTGTTCACTTAAAATGTGACAAGGGAATGAGTGGTGATCATCGCATATGCCCGTAACACGGAGCTGGGGTCAAGGTACAGTGAAGCACGTTTCCATCATCCACATACTCCTTCAGGCCCTCTCCAATCCAGCTCTCCCTCCCTCTCAGGCAATCCCTGATCTTCTTTTTGTCCCGAGAGATTATATTGCATTTCCTAGAATGTGTCTGTTTTGTTTTGTGTTCTTAACTCAGCATAATCATCTTGAGATGTATTCATGTTGTTACAAAAACTTATTTATTATTATTTATTATTATTATTTTTTAAAGATTTTATTTATTTGACAGACAGAGATCACAAGTAGGCAGAGAGGCAGGCAGAGAGAGAGGTGGAGGCAGGCTCCCTGCGGAGCAGAGAGCCCGATATGGGGCTCGATCCCAGGACCCTGGGATCATGACCTGAGCTGAAGGCAGCGGCTTAACCCACTGAGCCACCCAGGTGCCCCTATTATTATTATTTTTTTAATTGCAGGATAGGATAACCTGGTGTGGACGTATTATGTTTTCCTTATCTATTCACCTATCGCTGAGTGTTTGGGTGGTTTCCAGTTTTTGGCTGACGTGAATAACGCTGCCACGACCATTCATGTAACAAGTCTTGTGTGGATATGGGTTTTAGTTCCTCTTGAGTAAAAACCCAAAGATGAAATTGTTAGGTCATACGTGTGTAAGTAACACTTTAAAGACGGCCTGTTTTCCAAAGTAGTTGTACCATGTTAACGTCTCACCAGCAGAAAATGAGAGCTCCATGTGCTTCACATCTTTGCTGGTGTTTGGTGTTGTAAGTCTTTCTAATTTCACCTATGCTACTAGATGTGTAGAGGCTGTATTAATAGATTACCCTTGTTTTATTGTGTGTGTGTGTGTGTGTGTGTGTGTGTGTGTGTGTGTGTGTGTTTGAAGGGTATTTGCTTTGGCCCCTAAGTTTACTTTCTGGTTACAGGATCCCCTCTTTTTTCCGGAACTACTCCTCCCCTGAATCCCATGGCTGTGGGTTCCAAATGGAGGCACATGACCCAGGCTGAGCCACTGGAGTATTTCATTCCACACCCCCCACCCCCACGGTGACTGGTGCATGTGGACCCAAGTAGGACTGACTAGAGTCATTTTGTGAGGCTGGAACTTGAAGCTGGGGGTGGGGTGGCGGGCAGGGACTCCTCCTCCTACAACTAAGAGGGCTAAGGATGACAGAAACCTGGAGCTACGTTTACCTCCTGTGGAGAAAGTCCACCTAAGTAAGAAGAAATTCAGGCCGGGAGGGAGCAGAGCCCACAAATGACAAATTAGGGGTGGTTGGCTGGTTCAGGCAGTAGAGCGTGCAACTCTTGATCTCAGGTTTGTGAGTTCAAGCCCTGCATTGGGTGGAAAGATTACTTTAAAAGTAAAATCTTCAAAAAAGAAAAAGAAATAGCCAGGTCTCTTCTAGGTTCTAGAATACAGGTCTGACTCAAATGTGATCTCCCTCCTCAGGGAGCTCCTTAGAAGTCTCAGGGAGCAGACCTATTTATACCCTAATTAGAGTATAATGTGGTTAGTGCTATGATACAGGTACTCATAAGATAACTGAAGAGGGGTGGTTGGGTTTTGGACACTGGGGAGGGTATGTGCTATGGTGAGTGCTGTGAAGTGTGTAAGCCTGACGATTCACAGGGGCAAATAATACATTATATGTTAATAAAAATAATTAATGAAAAAAAAGAGTTTTAATATATAAATATAAAAAAACAAACAAAAATCACTGAAGAGCACACAGGAGGAGAGGGTATAAATCAGTTAACTGAAAAATTCCTAGACTAGGTGGTTGGAGCGGGGTCTTAAAGGATAACTAGGAATTATCCAGCCAAAGACAGGCACAGCGAAGTCACCCAAAGCAGAAGGTAGAATATTTCCAAAACCCAGAAAATATGAAACAACATGATAATTTAAGAAAATCTAGAGGCAAAGTGTTGGGGAGCTTCTGACACTCTCATTCTCCTATACTTGGTGGTGAGGTGGGCAAAAAATGAAGTCAGAGAGGCAGGCAGGGGCCAAGTTATTATGAAGAGTAAAAATGTCTTCTCAACACTGTGATGAATTCTGGAAGCTTCCACAGCGGGGCAAGGACTGGCGGCTATATGAGGGCTGGGGTGCAGGGAGGAGTTGCCCTGGGCAGATAGTCCTCACCAGAGTTCACTGCAAATCCAGGGAGGTGAGGAAGGATGGGATCCAACCCTCTAGGAGCAAGAATGGTCTCTATTTCAGGAGCAAGATGGAATTAAAAACCATGTCCTGCACACAGTGAAAATCACCCAATGGGAGCAGGGAGTATCATCATTCAAATAAGCCTGTTGCTTTCAGTTTTAGCAACTCCCAGTTACACAAACAATGGCTTCTAAATTATCATTATAATTCAAAATACCTACAGTACTCACCTCTGTAATCTGCAAGTCTGTACTGACGGTTCTCCCTATTATATTCATGAGAGTAACCAGTGATTGTATTCCATACCTGCAAAGCAACAAGATGCTAGTCAGAGGTGGAAAATGGTTTGCAAGATAAAGCTGGGTTTTATCGGGCGGGTAATATGCTAAGTGCACAGCCCCTGTTGATTCCTACCTCCCAAATCAAAGCAAAAATACATATGAACTCGTTTAGCTTCATCATTTAATAAGATATCTATTATACAGAAGATTTTATCAGCACTAAGTAAATAAAATACAGGTAAATATTGATTTTTGTCCATAGAGTTCTGAAATCTTTCTTTAAATATGAAAAGCTCCTCTTCAAAACTGCAACTGTTCTTATCTTTTTAAATGAGGTGGTTCAAACAGAGGTCACATACTTCAATTTAAGACAACTTACACAAGGGGTAAGTAAATATGGAAATTACGCCCCTTAAAAAATAGTAATTAATATGGAATCAGTTTCAGAAACTCTGGCTAACCTACCCTGAGAACTTATGTAAAATTTTGTATTTGTATATGCTTTTTTGAAGAAAGGATCTATGTCCTTGAAGATTCTCAACATGTTGGTGATCATGGAAGGGCTAAGTACTCCAGCTCTACTTTCCCTCAAACACACACCGTCATTGAAACTTCCCCTCTAGTTTCATGCCCTTGAATGTCCAACAAGGATCATGCAGGAAAAAACAAAACAACAGAACAAAACAAAACAAAACAACAACAACGAAAAAACAAGAAATATTGTTGCGGAAAAACAACAGATACATACCCGCCCGAAGCCTTGCTGTGGTTAAAAAGGTAAATAAAGACTTTGGGATGCATTAAAGAAGAAAGAAAATTAAAATAGGGTTAATGTTTTGGACTGAACAAGAAAGGGTTGCTATTCTGTTCTACTGATAATAGACAGTTAATACACATGATTGACTTCAAAAACGTACACTTGAAATTAAAAATTGCAACAGTTGATGTTGGCATAACACCTAAAGGTAAGAGAAAATGGTGTTTTGGTCTTTTTTAAGTTCTCCATGGTAACTTAAGCTGTGTCTCCTTGAGCAAAGGGAAGGATGAGACAGTCTCCATATAAACACCGCTGTTTCCATAGGCAGAGAGGACATACTTCTTAGCTCTCCATTTTTATTGGCCACGTATTAAAAGCCTGTGGAATGACTCAGGAAATCTGGCAAAATTTGGAAAGAAAGAAAGAAAGAAAGAAAGAAAGAAAGAAAGAAAGAAAGGAAGGAAGGAAGGAAGGAAGAAGGGAGGGAGGGAGGGAAGGAAGAAAAGGAAATGAAAGGAAAGGGGAAAGGGAAAAGGAAAGAAAGGAAAGAAAACTACTTAGGGCCCTAAATGTGTGATTTGCTACCAGATGGAGGAAGACTACCCAGAGAGGCAGGGCTGGGTTTGAAATGACCTTGGGCAATTTGTAAAGAAGGGACTAAGATATAGTGAGAAGAATCGTTCTGGAAAGGAAAGGGGATGCTGTGTGTTGAAGCACCTATCAGGGTCCCTGGCACACTTCATCTCTTCCTGTTCTTGCAAATTGCAAGAAGAGGTATTTAAGATTTTATTTATTCATTTGAGAGAGAGAGCGAGCGAGTGAGAGAGAGAGAGAAAGCACAGGCAGGGGGTGGGGGAGAGGCAAAGGAAGAAACAGGCTCCCCACTGAACAGAGAGCCCAATGCAGGGCTCAATCCCAGGACCCTAGGATCATGACCTGAACAGAAGGCAGACGCTTAACCAATGGAGCCACCCAGGCGCCCCAAGAAGAGGTATTTTTGACACAGAGAAGATTTGTCCCTCTTGTTGAGAGAGTGATCTCTGAAATACTACTGCACAAAAATAGACACATTTCAAATAGTTTATCTGCCAGTGGTCAGATACACGCTAATTCATACAAAGACCAGAGCCAACCTGTGTCAGTAGAGTTACTGTTTTAAAAATCTGGTAACATTCCATGCCAGTGTGGTTACAGGGATTTTGGGCCACTCTCCTCTGGCTCACCTTCTGTCTCTCTCCTCTCTCAAATTTCCCCTCTCTTGTGATCCCTTTCCCTGCCACGTTTCTTTTCCTGGGACAAGCGTAGCCACTGGGCAAGTACAGGGCCAAGGCATCCAGCCCGATCTAGGGACAGGTGGTGGGTACCGGCCCCCACCAGCCCCTTTGAGCTTGGGTGCACCTCTCCGTATTACCTGACTCTCTCTGCTCGTGTTCCTATTTCTCTGTTCAGCTATATGCTCCCCACTAGGAAACCCAACAGAGAGGAAGCAGGAATGTGTGCAAGTTTTCATGCTTAGGACTCTTGCCAGTATAACAGCATCTGAAGAAGAAATCAACAGTTTGGTGAAGAGGAAGGGGGTAAGATTCCTTTTGGGTCAGTTGAGTTTGAAAATGATCATACTTTATTCTACACTCAGGTAAAGCTGGGTTTTCCTGGAGACTGTGAAGCCTACATGGTTTTAAGAAAACCAGAAGCATGGGACGCCCGGGTGGCTCAGCCGGTTGGGCATCTGCCTTCAGCTCAGGTCATGATCCCGGGGTCATGGGATCGAATCCCGTGTCGGGCTCCCTGCTCAGCAGAGAGCCTGCTTCTCCCTCTGCCTGCTGCTCCCCCTGCTTCTGCTCTCTTTCTCTGACGCATAAATAAATAAAATCTTTGGGGGAAAAAAAAGACGAAAGCACTTGACCAGATGATAGGACACAAACACCATTTCTACCGTCTACAGTAACAACTCATACAAGTCCAATGCTTCCTCTCTATCCATACATTTTTCCATGAGACCCATCTACAGCTATGAGGCCAGACACATCTTTCCCTCAAATACAAGATGTCTTTGAGCTCAATGAAGTTTCCCTCCCTGGGATCGGGACTCAAAAGGTCATCTTTGGCCCAACAAGGACCTTAAATACTCCAGAGCGACCAGTGCAATGCTCCAAACATGGGAGTGAGGGGCAGGACCAAACCGAAGTTGTTTGCCTCCACACAAGTATTCTCAACCATAGTTTCAGATCAGGCTTCCTGGGAAGAAGGCGGAGCCTAGGTGAGGCGAGCAGATGTTCTTGCACTGTTGAGGACCAGCATCTATGGCTCAAACAATTGACCAGCCCTGTCCCCTCTGTTCCAGAGCCCTAAGTTCCAGCCACCTCCTGTGACTGGTCCCAAGTCAGATACTCAGTCCTCCCCCACCACCCAGCCCTGGCATTTCCTAGCACCCTCATGGATGCAGAAGCTCATTTTTTCCCACTGCTTGTTCAAATCCCACTCAAGTCCCAGTCTTCTCTTTGGGTCCCTACACCTTCTCCAGCTCCTCTCTTATCAAATTTATCAGATAGCGTACCTTCATCACTTTATATCCCCGACGAGAGCTTAAACTACCTGGATCTTGGCATGGAAAGACGAGAACTTTTTATAGGTGAAAGAACCTTGGGATTGATCAAATACGCTACCTCTCAGCTTATACGAAGGGAAACCAAGGCCGATGTGTTAGCTAACAGGAAAACAACAAACAGTTGTTCTAGTTACGTTCCAGATGGGAGTACTAGAGAATTCGGTTTCTCATCTGCTTCTCTCCCAGGGCAACCGACCTCCTGGCAAAATGACCCTCCACTTACATGACACAGATGGTAAGTAGCAGGATTACAGCCCTGACGGGCAGGAAAAAGCGTATGGAAATCTCTATAGATTTCCTTCTGCGGGGCTTCTTGGGGTCTTTTCGATGCTAGCATATACTGTGAATTTGCAAAAAGTGGAAGTTAACACAGACTGCTCCCAAACTGATGGGGCTACTGTTTTTCTTGTTCCTAGAAAGCTTATCAGCGTTTTATGAATGAGGCTCGGTGGAACATACCAGAGCAACACGAATTTCATAGCTAACGTGCTAGTAGTAATCAGTCACATTTCAGGAAGTTCAGAATGCCTTTTTCACATAATTAATGTAAAATTTAATTTGTCAGAGCCATTTGTGTATTTATTCTTTATGTTATCTTTATTAATATATGAAGACTGATAACACGCTAGTCTTCACATCAAATATAACTGTTCAAATAAGTAATGATTTAAATGTTCTGATTTAAAAGCACTTTTTTTTGGCATTGTAAAGGAGTTCAATAAATATTTACAAAAGAAAAACATTTTGTTCTGTAAGAGAGCCCTATTCATATATATATTTTTTTAGAGATGGGGGGGTGGGTACATGGTGGAAGAGAGAGAGGGAAGGGGAGGGAAGAAAGAGAAAATCATAAGCAGGCTCCACCCCCAGCACGGAGCCCTACAAGGGGGTTGATCTTATGACCCTGAGACCATGATCTGAGCCAAAACCAAGAGTGGGAATGCTTAACCAATGGAGCCACCCAGGAACCACCCCCTGCATTCACATTCTTACACATTTATATTCTAAATATATGTTCTCTTCCAAAAAGATAAACTTATTTACAAAATGTATCTCCCCAGTTTACAGGTGTTTGGACCTGATAACAGATCCTTTCTATCTGCTAACTCCAGGATATGTAAGTACTTGTAGGACGTATTATTCTAGACTTTCCAGAATGTAGGATTAAGTCATGCTCTGGAAAGACCAGCCATCAAAGAAAGGCATGCCGTCAGATTTTTACATGTTCATGTATATTTCACCCAATAGGGGGCTATGAAGCAAGCAGATTTAATCTTAAAAGGTGAGAGATATGGCCAATTCAAGAACAGGGAACCCAGATATGTGAAAGGTATCTGACAGGTAAGACATGAGCAACAGCCAGGCGGACATCGTCATGAACACGGCTGTTTCTCAAAACATAGTGGTCCACCTCAGAAAATAAGTGAGTGGCTGGTGTGCACTCCTGCCAATAAAAAATGACTTGCTCTGCCCTATGTCTCTGATGACAAACTTCTTAATGGGCACAGTGGGGAAACTGAGGTAGGTATAATCCCAGGCAAACTCACTTTCATACAGAAAGCTGAAACTGAGGGTAAGTGACCTTCTCTTCCACAGATGAGATGAAATGCAAGAAATAGCATCACTTCTCTGGTCAAGGCAAAGGACTTGTGTGAACTAGCCCGATTAAGGCTGAGCGCCTAGCACAGAACCAATGACCTTTATGAAAGAGAGGTCTCGCGTTTCCTTCTTACCTTTCACTCACAGCTTGCCAATTGTTGACTAGAAAGTCCTTTGCAATATACCGGCCCACCTCCGACGCCGCCACCACTTCAATGACATTTGTCTCATTAAAAGCGAAAGGCGATGCAGTAATGGCATACTCCATGTACCTGCAAGGAAGCATTTGCAGAAAATAAATGTGCAGGGATGCCTGGGTGGCTCAGTCGGTTAAGTGTCTGCCTCGGGCTCAGGTCATGATCCCAGGGTCCTAGGATCGAGTCCCACACTGGGCTCCTTGCTCCACAGGGAGCCTGCTTCTCCCTCTGCCTCTGCCTGACTGTACTCTCTCTTTCTTTCTGACAAATAAATAAATAAATAAATAAAATCTTTAAAAAAAGAAAATAAATGTGCAAACACTATCCAATAGAAAGAGTGAATTTCCACAGGTGGACCTAAAATTCTATGTGGTGCTAACTCAGTAAGGCACAAACAGGTATTATCTGAGTTCCTGTTTTTCTTCTTTTGGTTCATTAATTGCATTCCTCTACCAGGAACTTCCAAGACCAGTTGACCGTAATCACCTGTTGAGTATCCTTGGGTCTTTACTGCAGCTCATTGCATAAGCGAGTTGAATCCTCTCCTCTTCCTTTGTTTTACTAGCGTACATATTCAACAGGAAGTCCCATTCTTCCTCGCTTCCCAAGGCAATGCCATAACATAAAATGACACTTTTAATTGGAGAAGGTATTCTGTAAGGTAGAACATGCAATGATATTTCTCATAGTCGTTACGTTATGTATTTACTTAGGGTGTTCTACTTTTAGAAGGATATATCCAGAAAAAAATGTTGAGATTTCAGGTACGAAGATCAAAACTAGGGCTCGAGAAAGTCAACTGCGAAAACTGTCATGAGCGTTAATATTGCGAGAAAAGAACATCAGATTAGTTTAGAAGCTAAGGAGTTCTAAGAAAGAAGGAAATTATCATAGTTCAATCAATGTACACTGATAATTTAGCTTGGGTGCATATCTTTTTTTTTTTTTTTTTGAAGTAATTTCCATACCCAACATAGGGCTCAAACTCACAACCTTGAGATCAAGAGTCAGATGCTCTACCGAGGGAGCCAGCCTGGAATGCATCATCTCAGGTGTTACGATCACATTTCCCAAGAGTCCACCTGAGGTAATGCACTAAAGGTAATAGAGTAAAACCAGAAAGACAGTCTTTGTGTCAGCTCTCCATGGGAATACAAACTCATAGAGAATGCACTCCTTGGGCACACTTACATATACGTCACAGTAGTAAACCATCAAAGAACAACCAAAATAGGACTCCAGACACACGCAGCTGCTTCTTAGGAAGCTCGTACTGACGACGAGCAGCCCAGGGTACAACTCACTGTGTAAATTCGAATCTACTGTCATGTGCAGACCTACCATAGGCAATGCCAAAAAAGGGGGTGGGGCGGGGCTATTTGAAAACAAATAGGAGACAGACTACCCAAGAGAAAATAAAACCATCACTCCCAGAAAGAGAACATCAAAAAGGTAGAGAAATTATTGCTGTTGAAATAGGACAGAACTGGGACGCCTGGGTGGCTCAGCGGGTTAAGCCTCTGCCTTTGGCTCAGGTCATGATCTCAGGGTCCTGGGATCAAGTTCCGCCTTGGGCTCTCTGCTCAGCAGGGAGCCTGCTTCCCCCTCTCTCTCTGCCTGCCTCTCTGCCTACTTGTGATCTCTCTCTCTGTCAAATAAATAAATAAAATCTTAAAAAAAAAAAAAAAGAAAGAAATAGGACAGAACCAAGGGCAATCCAACGTGCGTCTTACTCATTCTCTGGCTGGTTCGCCCAGTTTTTGAAGAGTTCTCTTGACAGCTGAAGACAGTCTTCAAGGCCCAACCAGCAGGCCGTTTCAAAAAGTTTTTCCAGGGCTACTCTTAAAGGAAAGCACAAAGAAAAACATTTTGTTTTGCTACGTTTACCACACTTATTTTTTTTTTTTCCTTTCTCCAACTGTGTGTGTTTCGTGAGAGGAGGGGTTTATTTTAAAATCTCCTTCCAATAAGGAAAAAAAATAGCTTTTGTGGATGGCAGACTTATTTAAGGCTCAGAGAAATATTTGCTGAGAGGCTCTCAGGCACCAAATAAACTCCAAAGACTGGTATTTTTTTGAAAGTCGGAAATAAATTATCGCCATCCTCCATCTCCCTCAAACACACGCAGGAGTACACACAGTCCGCATCTGCTATCAATTTATTTTTCCTCCCTTTTTACAATAATTGCCTTATGAATAGAAAGAAAAAAGACTTGAGAGCATTTGATCTAATACCCTGAAAAATGAAGTTCTTTCTCTATACACGGAAAGGAGAGGGAAGGGTTTCTTTTCTTTCCACAACGCGCTTTCCCTCGCTAGAACTTTTGTTTCTTCCTCTGCTCTGTCTGGCGAGTTATGTTCGTGTCCAGATAAAGAATAGAGATTTCTGCTTTGTTTTGTTTTGTTTTGACAGCTGAGCAATGGTACACATTTTCTTTCAGAACAAAATAAGTTCAAAAGGATACAGTGAAAAACGGTAATTAATCCAGAGAAGCGATGTCTGGAGGTATCGCTCTCCATACTCCTGAGTCTCTCCAACTTGGATTCAGAGGTAAAGGAACTCAAACTGGCCATAAGTTTCCAGAAAATGCAAGAGCCAAATGGGGTTGCTCCACCCTCCATTTGCAACCTCGGCCCCGCCTGACCTTCCGATAAGGAGAAGTAAGGATGGCCAAGGGTGGAGGACCTCCGAAAGACAGTTCTGAGCATTTCTACACCCTCCCTTTCTCTCCCTCCCCACCCCAAGTTGGATGCAACAAGTGTACTCTACAAGTACACAATTCTCCAAGGTTCCTCGGAAGACAAATGGCCCTGGGAAGCAATCAAAAGTATGTCACTTGAGTCCAGTTCAGGGGAGCCAAGGATATGGCTGGCTAACATCTGTGGTGCCTGAGTGAGAACACTTCTGCCTTCCTGTTCATGCACTCAACCCGACTGCCCACTGACCATCCCACTAGTCCTCACTGTCTCCCATTTACATGTCTAGTCAACCCTGTGTCCTTCTAGTCACATGCCCGAGCACGCAAATGTCTCCCTTCTCGGAAGGATACTCTTGAGAGAGAATAATCTCATTTTGTTTATTTTGTATTTCTTGCTCAGTCTGGTTGATTTCAGCCTGATTTTGATCAGAGCTGTAAACAGAATTCCTGTACCGTTGCAGATAACAAATTCCCTCCCTAAACCTAGAAGTTCCCCTCCGGTACCTCCCACTCCCTACAAATCTTGGGTCACGGGAAGGTCAGGGGTACCGCAGCCCGATTTTTACCTTTCACCTCCTTCCCAGGCCGCCAGGACAACATGCTTACTGCCCTCACCAAACCAATAACATGGAAATCATTTGCAATACTTACTCGTGCTCACACACAAGTAACTGAAATATTCCAGGCAACTCCTCTCATATTTGTACAAGGAATGATAGAATTTTTGTCATTAATAACAAACAGAAGGGACTTTTTTTTCTGGTGGCCCTCCCATGCCTTCGGTTCATTGGTATAGGCTGGTTTTACTCAGTACAACCCCCTCACCAATGGCAGGACACACTCAAAATCTCAACCAGAAGCCCAAGATTTGAGAGGACAGAGCTATAGATTCCTGTGTGTCCATGTGTGGGCTCTACAGGTAAACTAAGATCCCAAACTTTTATCTCTGAATAGGAAACTTGTAGCTCACCCATCCCAAAGCCACTTGTCTCAAGGAGCATGCAAAATCTCCCAGTTAAATCTTAACTATCGAGATCTTCCTAATATACATCTGGAAACCCACCTCTTAACATGAACAATTTTATTCAGTTATAAACTGAAATGAATATAAATGGAATATACATATTCAATAGAGAAAAATAAAAAAATACTTACAGGGCTAAATAGTCATCTTGTAACGCTGCCGCGTTTTCACGGATGGTGGTTGAATATACATTCCATATCGAGGTAAGTCTCTTCAACAGATACTTCTATAAACAATAAGGAAAATCTATGGTTAGCTTTGGCTCGCAACACTGAATTTGCTCTGTATTGCCCTCTATCTGAAAGGACAGGAATACAGGAGTGACAGGTGTCTCCTGAGAAGTTGTCTTTGTTATGAAACGTGTAACTGGTTGATTTTGTTGTAGCCTCTTTTCGTTCAGGTTCCTCATTGGCACAAGGGAATTGCCAAGAATACCAGTATTACCCTTTGGTGAGGACAAAACAATATCACATATGTGAGTACACTCTGTGGCAGGTAGGAACTCGATAAATCATGGTTCTTATTACCATTTCACATCACCTGGAACATTTTCAGGTGTGTTCAAAATAGAGAAAGAAACGATGAAGGTTAAAACTGTTCAACATTCTACTTTAGCATTTCCATGCTTTGTATCTATACCTCCAAGAAAAATAAGGATGACTGATCTATGCTTCGGACAATTTTACACTGTGAGTAGGAAATAAAGTTTCTTCGATTGAGCTCTCAGCTGGTGAACAGCAAGGTTATAAAAGTTATCCATTTAGAATACATCCCTAAGAACAAAGTAGATATTATTCATTGACATTCCTTAAAAACAAGTCCTAGGGCATCTGGGTGGCTCAGTTGGTTAAGCATCTGCCTTCGGCTCAGGTCATGATCTCAGGGTCCTGGGCTCCATGTTCAGCAAGGAGCTTGCTTCTCCTCCCTCTGCCATTCCCCTGCCCCACTTGTGTGCTCTCTCTCTCTCTTTCTCTCTCTCTCATGCTTGTTTTCTCTCTCTCAAATAAATAAAAAAATTTAAATAAAGACAAAAGCAAATCCTAGTTATTACTTCTTCATCCAGAAGCAGGAATCAGAGTTTATCAATGAGCCACCTCAATCCCACACTTAAGTGTCTTCTTTTCTGGGTCACCATCCCCACACTCAAGGACATTTGGACCAGCACTCTGGACAGCTGAGGAAAGAAGTCTGGACCTGTGAGGTATTTGTGATCTCGCCCTCCATCAGCCCCAGAAGCTCACTTGTAATTATCATCTGGACCACTTTCTGGTTTGTCTCTGGTCCCTTACTCTCTGGGTCCCTTACTCCCAGCTGTTCCTTTGGTTTGCCCTTGAGCCATCTTTCTTATGATCACTGTTTAAGATCTAATGAAGGAAGTTTGATGATGTCCCATTGCTTGATGAATTCCTATTTCCCTCTCTCCCTTGCCAGCAGCAAAAGCAGCTTCCAAGTGTTTCCTGGAACATACCTCTCTGGTGAAGCCCTAGTCCTATAGATCAGAGTATTTCAATGATGACTACAGGGTTGTTAAAAGTCTTTCTGTTTAACTAACCATCTTTCAGGAGAAGAGTTGCTGTTAGACAAAAAGCATACCATTTCCATCCACTTCTGGGTTCTTAGGGCACACGGTCGCTTCACCAAGAACTAAAGACTTTTCCAAACCTCTCTCATACTCATTTCCTAGACCAGACCATGACTAAAGTATGACTAAGAGTAACCAGCCCTTCCTAAGAAAATGAATACATATTTAGAACTAATAGACTATGACTTTGGGGAAGGATGTGTTCCACAGATGCTGTCTAGATACAGAAAGAGGAAGAGAGGACTTTTTAAAACCACATAACAAAGAAGGAAATTACCTTTAATAACGGGTACATATCATAGCTGTTCGCATCAAAAACAAGATCCTTGGTTACCAGGTTCACCAAGACTGCATACCAGACTATGATTTCATCTTCTTCAGCAAGGTACTTGGTTAAATCAAGGGCTGTTTCAATCTCAATATAATTGTTTCTGTTTGGTTCAAAAAAATACACACTCAAAAAACCTCCACTTGCTAAATGATTTATGCACGTTCCATATTTGTTCCATGCTTGGATGCCTGGCTTTAAAGTTTGTGGAATCAGATGAGGAAGTCGAGAAGCAACATGGGGGGTTTGGGGGGTAGGAAAAGAATAAATGAAACAAGATGGGATTGGGAGGGAGACAAACCATAAGAGACTCTTAATCTCACAAAACAAACTGAGGGTTGCTGGGGAAGGGGAGTAGGGAGAGGGTGGTGGGGTTATGGACATTGGGGAGGGTATGTGCTATGGTGAGTGCTGTGAAGTGTGTAAACCTGGAGATTCACAGACCTGTACCCCTGGGGCTAATAATACATTATATGTTAATAAAAATAAATAAAATAAACGTAAAAATTTTTTTAAAAAAATTAAAAAAAAAGTTTGTGGAATCAGGAAGCTAGAGGTCTTAGTTCCTTGATGAGATGGGAGCCAAGAAATGCGGACAGCCCCTCCATTACAGTTTGGTATATTCAAGTGTCCCAATTTTTGGAGACTAGAAGAAAATCCAGGCCAACTGTTGGACTGCTCATAGGGCAAAAAATCCTTGTGTATTTCATACACATTGTTATGGAAGTACAATTTCCATTCAACAAGTATCGATTACGAGTCATTATCGAATGCTCTACCAGTTACTCGCGGGAACACGAACTCGAATGTAGGCCACGACTCTTGCTTTCCACTGAGGAGTTTATTCCTTCAGCGAGGAGCAGAGGCTTATGCATGAGAAGCTGTTCATGAGTCTGAGAAAAGCCAACAAATAGAATAAAAGTAGCGAAGAAGGAAAACCCATGTGTGTGATGGTGAAGTCAGGGAAGGCCTCCTGGGAGGAGGACGGTGAGAAGGGCAGTGAAGGCTGGGTAAGATGGAAATGGATAGAGAGAAAGAGGAACGGTGCTTAAAACAAAGAAGATAAAGTGGGAATTTGTGTGAGAGCGGACCAAGCCACTGAGGCACCGGATTTCTTCAGTGTGGAGTTGAGAGGTGGAGCTTGGGAAATACGTGGGACTGACACTGTAGAGAGCCTTGAATGTCAAGATGAAGAGTTTTCATGGAGTGGGAAGGTGTTTAAATAATGGGGGGTGGTGACATCATGAAGTCGATGCTGAAAAATTTTATTGCCACTGTGCTGAAGAAGACAGAATGGAAATGAAAGGAACGGAAGGCTGGAAGCTAACTCAACAGGCTAAGTAAAAGACGAGGGGCACTTGGCTTAGCATGGAAGCAGTGAAGGTGGTACATAAGGTGGGAATCCAAAAAATATCCTCAAGAAAGAAGAGATAAGACAGGTTGGCTGGATGGCAGATGAAGAGAGAGAGAGAAAGAGAGGAGTCAAGGATATCTCAAGGTTGGTTCATGGGAAGAATCGTGGCACTCTGACAGACAGAGAGAAACTGACAGCAGAAAAAATTCAGAGACAGAAAAAAAATCTGCTGTGGAAGATCCTGAATTTAAATGACCACGGGATATGCAGAAGGCAGGAGGGGACAGGTGGAGATGTAGACTTAGAAGTCATGAACATATCCCTTCCCAAAGCTTTACTGATTAGCTTGTATCTGCTGGGCATTCTACGTGTCCATAATAAAATCATCCCTAAAACCATAAGAAGGCATGAGCCATCCAAAGGAAAGAGAGAAGAAAATGAGAGAAGACAAGAGAGGTTTCCCCGAGGATGTGGTCAATAGTTTGAGAATCATGGTGGTCCTGGAGAGGGGTTTCAGCAAAGCAGTGGGTGAGCAAATGTACCGCAGGTCACAGAGGGAGAAGTGATACAGGAACAAAGGACAAAATAAATAGACATTCCTTTGAGAAATAGGACAGGTAAAGACAGAGAGAACACACTAGCTAATTTACTCTACAGACTCTTTAATTTTATTGTCTAAAATTTAAATTCTAGACACATATGAATTACCTGAATGAAAACTTAGCACAGTTTCTACTGAATAAATCTAATAGAAATAAGATCTATACTTCTATAGTATACTAAAATACAGGCCATATCTCATTAAAATTTTACCTATAGCCATCACCCTAGAGTAACAAGAATCACTTCAAAATCTCAATTGATAGTCTAATTCTAGCAATTCTTTTTTTTTTTATATGTCAGCTATTTCCTTAATTTACAATATCACAGAAAAATACAAATGCATCTACAACCTTCCCAAATGTATCTGTTAATATTAGGAACCTTTATAAATGCAAGCCCAAATCACCTTTATTTTCTCCTGAGTTCTTCTTCTTGATGGAAATTTTAAAAAATAACAATTCTAATACTTTCTGTGATAATCCTCTAAATATTTAAACATGATGACCTTTTCCTCAGTATATCTTCTTTACCGCATCTTTTTAAAACTTCTCCTTTAAAGGGATTCCTTTTAAGATGCTGACTTACATTTTCATCTTATAAAACTGAAACTCGCTCCAGCATTAAACTAACTGCCCCATTCTGCACCCACCCCCACCCCCAACAACCACCCTTCCCTTTTGTCTCTCCAGGATTCTGACTACTCCAAGGAACTCATGTAAACGGAATCACATAATACTTGTCTTTTGGGGACTGGCTTCCCTTGCACAGCACCATGCCCTCAAAGTACACCCATGATGATGCTGATTCCAGCAACTTCTATGTTCTAAAATTCTACTGCACCCACAGAACTTGATCCTAATCTGAATAAGCTGGGCCCTGTATATACTAAAGAAGCAATTTCACTGCACAGTGACTAGGCTGTAACATTTTATTACGTTCTCAAGGTATACTTAAAAGCCAGCGGTGAAGACAACATACTCACTTAGACAAGGAAAAGGCATCGTCAATCACCTGCAGCCTGTGGATAACAGGAATGGCCTGCAAATTAGATCCAAATTTGTGCAGGAAAAGATGAGAGCATTGCTTAGCCACAAAATAATTTGCAAAATCATAACAGCGTTTCAAGATCATGGTCGCTTATGAAGCCCTCTCGTGTGAATTGTCTCACGCGCAGAGAAATGGTGATCACTGAGGATAGTCCCCATGATTTTTTATTATACATCTGTTTTTGGTAAATGGTCCCTCTGGACATCAATCATAAGGCTTTCATCTGGCAGAGAGTTTTGCCAAAAGACTCCCTGAAAAAAATGGCATGGTGACAACAAAAACGGGATGTCATGTTGAATAGGCTCTCCAAAACAAGGAGTGTGTGCTCAATTGTGTTACACTGTCCATATTGCTGTCAGGAGAAGTTTTGGCACAGGAAACCTTAAGTACTCATTATTTAGCCCTATTTTGGTAATACTGAAGTCCTCTGAGCAGTGTCTGTCTTGTCGAGATTTTACTAATTTGACCCAATGCCACCAAGAGAGCCCTGAGAATCATGGAGAGGCAGCAGTCCATTGCCAACCAACTGCTTAAGCTTGGGCTACAGCCCCACGGCATGGCCAGGCCACAGGAACCTGTCTCAGCTGGAGGGGACTCAAGGGGCCCAGAGGCTCCTATCCCCTTCCTTCAACACCTCATGCATTTTCACAGGTTTGGTCTCAGAAAATCCATCTTCATAACACTCATTTTGAGCCTCTCAGCAAGCTTCAATCTTTCCTTGGTCTCATTTCTTTTCTGGCAGTAATAACACTTCCATTTTTCTAAGTTAATACTAATAACAGACATCCCCAGTCATGTAGTAGGAATAACTGACCTCAGTTTTTCAATAAGTAAGTCTACAGTGGTTGCAAGAAAATCATTGCTAGAATGGCATGGCCTTACGTCCATGGCTTACAGTGCCCTCAGAAACCAGTAAGAGGGTAGCTACTCTGAAAAAAAATTTGAAAATAAAATGTTACAATGTGTGGATTTTGGAACCTTATTCAAAAGCCTTATAATAATTTTTTAAAATTACTGAATATGTCCTGACAGACTGATCTGTGTCCAACCTCTGTTAAAGAGGATACATATATTACCTTATCTAGTCTTCACAATTCTTTATTTAATGCTGGTCTATCAAAACATCATCATATGGATGGGAAAACCAAGGCATGAACACAAGGGTACCAGACACAGAAGCCAAGCTCTGGACCGATATACCATAGGTCATCTTCTGCTAGAGAGGCCGCTAGATACTTCCAGAGAACTCTCAAAGATAGAGACACCAAAGATATCTTTCAGTTCAACATTCTAGCTTAAAGAATGGTGCCTCCATGAACTAACTGTCCAAGGTTTCATGGCAGAGCTAACTCTAGAGACACCAACGCCAGCATCCTTCTCCAACAATGGAGATTTGGTTGAATTCAACCAATCAAAATCTGACCGACCAAAGCTAGCCAACATTTTAATATTTATATATGACAGAATGACTTATGTTTGGTGATAAAGTAGTATTAGAGTCTATTGATATTTTGTGGCTTGAATTCTCCAAGGGAGAGTAAGAACATAATTTTTTAAAAATTCACACTTCCTAGCATAGACTGGGTACCCTTGATGGGCTTAGAAATTGTAAGCGTAAATTTACCTACATTGTATCTAATCCTCATGGTAAGTAACAAAGCTGTATATTATTCCCATCTAAAGTGAAGACATGGAAACAGAACATTCAGGTAACTTGTCTGAGATCATAAAACTAATGGTGAGTAGGAAAATGTATTCTGATTTTTACACAGAAAGGCAAAATGGTTGAAGGAGAATGATATTAATGTTCAAAAGCACAATACATTGAACCTAAATCTGCCCTTTCTAAGAATGAGGGGGGAAAAAATCCCGTATGGTTTAGGGTGAGAGACAGCAGTGAGGGCAAAGTCTCTTCTCACCAGAGAGGTTTATGAAAGCCTGACTCAAGAGTACATTATGAATGACATTTACTAACAGGTAGAAAAAGCCACCTTACCTTAGGATCTTTTTCAAGCTGTTGATTTAGCTTCTTCCAACCTAATTGATCATAGTTAACTCTGTAATATCCAGTCATATTCAAATTTAGAATCACCCAGTCATGATCGGAAGCCAAAACTTGCATTTCGGGGAATATTTCTACAAAGGGATATGGGAAAGGTGTGAAATGGGGCACCTAAAAATTTTTTCCAGTTCATATTTATACTCTATCCTCTTAATCCTCAACAATGAACCTAATAATCCAAAAAAAGTAAAAGAATTCTAAAATAGATACTGATCATACCACATAATTGTATTTTTTCACATATAATGGTTTCTGATTAGAAAATTTTCTTTAAAGCTCTATGTTAGTTAAGACAAGAATGATATAATATTTTAGTTTTAAGCAAGACAGCTTTTCAAAGGCTCTCTGCTCCAACATTTCATTCTCTGCCTTTATATATGTGTGTAATATATATTCATGCATATATGTGAAGATATTTTAAAAATCTGTTACTTACTGCTGCTTTTATCTAGCCAGACTAGAGACTGTGTAATTCCATTTTTTATCCAAAGAATAGGTACAATCCATGTGTCACTTATTAGGAAGAAACCAAAAATTCAATTAATTTTCATACATAAGATACAAACTCTGAGCCCATATTAACTGAGATGATAAAATGACAGACGGGACTCAAATTCTTTGGTTTTTCACTCTGGATAGGCAAGGGTTTGCTCTTAGGATTATTCACTGTTGTTTTTTCTTTTTTTTACAGATTTTATTTATTTATTTGGAAGAGAAAGCAGGGTGGGGGAGAGAAAGAGTCCAAGAGTGGGGTGAGAAGCAAAGAGAGAAGCAGGCTCCCTGCTGATCAAGGAGCCCAGTGCTGGACTCGATCCCAGAACCCTGAGGTCATGACCTGGGGTGAAGGCAGTCGCTTCACCGACTGAGCCACCCAGGAGCCTTTCACTGTTGTTTTTATAAGCCACTTTTTCTTTGGCCATTTGTTTATTGTCTATTAGTCTGTCTTCTTCTTTACTTTTTCTTATAACTTAAGGTAGCTACAAAGACAATATTGTATCTGAATTTCTTCCTTCCTTCCTTCCTTTTTATTTCTTCCTTCCTTCCTTTCATTCTTTTTCTTTCCCCTTCCTTCCTTCCTCTTTTTCTTTCTTCTTTCTCCTTCCTTTCCTTTCCTTTCCTTTCTTTCTTTTAACCCTCTCTCTTTCTTTCAATCTTTTTCTTTCTGTATCTGAAACTCTCAAGACCTGTTTATATTTCAAGACCTGTTTATATTAAATTATAGCCACTTGGCCTCACTTGGGGGTTGTTCGAATGTTGTAGACAGACCTAAACCCCTCTGTGCCAAGAGAGGCAAAAAGTAATTTCAGAAGAAAAAGCTTGCAAACATTTCAAAATGACTTTCTGCCTCAAGCTTTCTCCCCATCTGAAAAGCGTTCAGCACGGATCAGATGATTCACATTTACTGAATGCCAACATTCTTCCCACATTGGTGGACGTGACCTGGAGGGACCAGACGACCACAGGAGGACATTAGTCATTGGAAGAGTTACAGTCCTTGGAGTTTGGACAGGACTTGCAATCTTGCTCAAATGCTCACAAGCCTGGTTTCTCAAAGCCTTTGAATGGGGGGGGGTCTGTGTTGATCTAATCGCTAAGGCACCCATCTTCGCAAAAGTCACGGAATCGTGATGAGCTCATGGTGCTGCACGGAACTGTGGAATCACAACATTGTATACTTGAAACTAACAGAACACCGGATGTTAACTAACTGGAATTAAAATAAAAACTTTTATTTTAAAAAATCACAGAATAGCAAAGTGAGTAGGGATGTTCCGTTCTGTTCCTTTTCTCTGGGGTTTTAAGGAAAGAGCAGGATGTCCTCTGTATTTAGGTGATACTCTTTGAAAATTACTCCCTCGTCTGTGCTAATACTTAACCGCAGTGCGATGTGAACATCAGAACGCTAACCAATACACTTGAACATCGTCTGACGAGTTAAGAAAGGGAAGGGAAGGAGAGAGGAAGCGATGAACATTAAGCTGCTTTAGGCTCAGCTTTTCATTTCCTTGTGACAACAATCCACTGGGACAGATGCTGTCACATTTACATTACTGATAAGGCAGCTAAAACTGAGAGATTTTCTTTCTTTTTTTTTTTTTTAAAGATTTTTATTTATTTATTTGACAGACAGAGATCACAAGGAGGCAGGCAGAGAGAGTGAGAGAGAGAGAGGAGGAAGCAGGCTCCCCACTGAGCAGAGAGCCCGATGTGGGCCTCAATCCCAGGACCCTGGGATCATGACCCAAGCAGGAGGCAGAGGCCTTAACCCACTGAGCCACCCAGGTGCCCCAACTGAGAGATTTTCAATTAGACTTACCAAAGGTTTGAATTTTGGTGAGGTTGATATTTAAACCCTTAGACTCTAAAGGCCATAATTCTAATCTGATAGGCACAGCTAGGAATACACACATACGCGTACCTTCGGACACGTGCGGAACTGTTCCTCCGGGGCTGGTGACCATTCAGTTCCATTTCTACTGAAAAAAGGTAACTGTGCAGCAGGACCCCCTTTTCTCTTACCTGACAGGAGGCCAGCATGATTCTATTTGACTGCCTCTCACTCAGAATCCTGAGTAATGCACTACTTCTGTCTGAAGGGCAAAGAGTGTACATAGCCCCCAAAGCTTTGGTTGCTGATGTCCTGCTAATGCGGGGGATGGGGCACTGTCTCGAATCCCTCGGTGCGAGTCTCTGGCCTCGTTCAGGACATCGGGGGCTCTGCCTCATGCCAGCACCCCAGGAATACCCCTCGCAGAGCACAGAGCCCACTGCGGAAGAGTACCCAGCCCGCCATTATGCTTCCTCACTCACAGGCTGCTTTCCATTGGATCGGAGCTCAACCCCAGGGAAGGCGAGGACAGAGCAGCAAATGTACCTACTTGTGGGTTAGGAGAGTCTCGTTTTTAACCTTTCCAAGATAAAACGGCTCCTGTTTGATGGTGCCAGTGGATACATTTAAGGTGACCACTGGAAAGCCACTCTGGTGGGTCCAACTGTCCATTATGCTTTTCACTGTGGCTGGCAAAAGGGTTTTATTCTGGTCATCGATGACCTGTTTTTAAAAAGTATCACAAGAGCAAATATTGACCATCAAAATTTTTTCAGGGGGCAGTCTCCCAAAAGAAACTACATGGCGGGCTATTCTATTTTTCATTTATGATATTCTGGGCCTAATTCAGAACTCTGCTCAACTCTCTATGTGAATGAGTCCTTAGTTCTTTCATTCATTGACTCACTCATTCATTCATTCACTGAGTGCACATGTCGGGAAGTAGGACAATTACCATTTGAAAATGCCTCCATAGATCATCTTGCTCAGCATTTGAGTAAGAATATGTCTTCAAATAGGACTGTAAAGAATGAAGAAGTTAAAAAGAATGGAAAAGTTAAGGTTAAAATAAATAACATGTTCCAAACAATTTATGTTTCCTGCCTTCTATGTCACAACAATTTTGTAAACTCACCTTGAGTGCACTGATAAATAAATTCTCATTCAGGAAGCTAGAAAGCATTCGGGCCAAAGACGCTCCCTAGGACAAGAAACAGTCCATTGTTTGAGCAAATTCAATACATTCCATTTTGATAAGCAATATCACATTCCATTTTGATAAGCAATATTCTGGGCTTTTCTCCCAATTACATTGCGTACTTCATTTGAATGTTTGGGTTATCCCCAAATATGTTGATAAAATAGTAGACTGTCACTAACTAATAGGTAAAAGTTGAACACATGCTTTACATATAAAGAATTCAGGATACACAAAATATTTTAAACCGAGATGTTTACATGGTCAGAATAAATTTCCACCAAGCAGAAGGGTTCACCTTAAAAGTAACAAGTTGTCTCAGTGTTTTATAATGATGGATGGTACTGAGCACCTAACATGGGCTTGAATAGTATTTGCTGGATGAGAACTGATTTAACCACATTTTCTGAAATCCATCTGCTGAATAAAATTGCGATTATTTGTATCAAAGCCTGTGTGGTGTCATATTAGCCTACTATCCTTTGAATCCATTTTATGCACCTTATTGCAAGAGTGCAAAATAAATGGCAATATATAACTGATTTTACCTTGTTGTAAGTAAACAAGTCAAAGAGCTCATTTATTTCACTGGTTTCTGTGAAATTTTCCGCCTTCAAGGACACAGCTCTAGACACCAGGGCGTGATCTTCACTGAGGACATTACGTAAAATGTTAGAAAAAAAGATCTCATTCTAAAAGGAAAAGATTGAGCAACATTAACTTCTTCGGTGTCACAGAAGCACAAAATTCAAATACTTTTCAAAAATACTTTCAAAAACGGACACTGAAGAGGGGAAAAAATCATTCAGATGTACTCTGTGAGCTTCCTTATTCCGAATAACTCAGGATTCCTTGAATAACAAAATAACTAAGATACTTCCCTTCCCATTTAATACCCTTCTTATTTCCATTTTTAAAAACCCCATTACAGAAGTCAACATGTTTTCCAAGAGAGCTGTCTACATTTCCCCAAACAAGGTCCCCAGTCACACAGACAGGACCCTCTAGGGACTAGCATCTCTAGGTGATTTTAATCCTGTAGAACTGTATTGATAATTTTATTAGTAACCCCTTAAAATGGGTCAGTCTCTCTTCAATGAACATTTACAGAGCAAAACGCACCAGATTTACCATTTTGATGATGCTATCCTAGTTTGTAATTGGAAATAAATTCATGGGCTGGATACGACAGTTTCTAGATTATGCATTAGGAAAAGGCAGTTTATTATATTTGAGTAAATACAGAACTCTCCAGAAAACTAGACCTCTCTCAGACACAGGACAAGGGCCATTTCTTTTTTGAAGGAAAGAAAGAAGGAAGACCAACATACAGCCAAAGAGGTGTGGGGCATGGCAGAGCCAAAGAAAGGATCGTGGCAAAGAAGCAGCAGAGACAGCAGAGCTGCAGAGCTGGGCGAACCCTCTCATAATCCACAAGCAGCCTCACCTCCCTAGGGGCCATCTCTGGGGTCCCCAAGTTGACTCCTTTGAATTCGGCCCACTTCCATTGGCCAACATTCCAACCAACCCTCTCCTCCTCACATACTATTTTTCGACTTATTAACACCATTGATTAGGCTACTGTCCAACTTTGCTCTTCCAGAAACGAGACAGCCTTTCATCTAGAGCAACACATCTCCAACTGTAATGAGAATAAGGATCCCCTGGTGGTTTGATCGATTCATACATGAACACAGTTGGTCTCAGGTGGGGTTCTGTACTTCTAATCGATTACCTGGAGACGCTAATGTCGTTAGTTTGATAGTCCCGCTTTGAGAAGCTAGGAGTGAGAGGAGACATCTGTGCAAGTCTGACCTGATTCATTCAGCATAGCTTTTATTAATTTAATCCTCAAGCATTCTTCAGAGTGCCTCACAGTTGACCCATGTATCCTCTAAGTACAACGTGGAAAACAGAGGAGATAAAGAACACCCATATTCCTACATCTCCAAGACAGTCACCATTAGAATGTTAGCACTCTGTTTTTCCAATCTCTTTCCCTATGTATTTATTTAGATGTAAACACTTCTGTCCTTCTTACTTATTATGACGTACGTTTCAAAATTCTGATACCTCATCTTCATAACTATCCCTAAAGACGGCCGCTGCATTATAAATGAAACATACATAAATTGGATATAATAAGCCAAATACTTAATAAGCCAAAACGTAATAGTGAAGATCACAGTGTGGTCAAATCACATATGACATCATTCTTCTCAAAGTAGAGCATATAACAACACTTCTGCGAAAGCAAAACATTAAAATAAATAAATGCAGGGTTGCAGAATGGCCCACTGAGGCCATGAACCATTACTGACTTCATCATTTCCCTATTAGCCAGGAATTTAAATTGCTTCCAGCTTCTTACTGTTTTAAACAATATTTTAACGAACACCTTTATGCATCGCCTTTTCCGTGTTTTGTGAATTCCCTCTGTCTCCCTCAGAATGGATAGTCTGTCTCTCTTCTCCCTGCCTGGTGTAAGATCTTCTATTGTCTTCTCGGCGTCACTCTCATCACACAAGTTAACTAGGATGAATGGGGCAGACACCTCTTCCTCAAGATCCCCAAGGTGTTTCTCCTCTGGGCTTCCCATAAGGTGACTCTTGTACCTGCCTGTTCCAGTCCTGCTGGAGGGAAACACTTATATAAAAAGTGATATTAGGGGACGCCTGCGTGGCTCAGTGGGTTAAGCCGCTGCCTTCGGCTCAGGTCATGACCGCAGGGTCCTGGGATCGAGTCCCGCATCGGGCTCCTTGCTCAGCAGGGGGCCTGCTTCTCTCTCTCTGCCTCTGCCTGCCTCTCTCCCTGCTTGTGTGCTGTCTCTCTCTCTCTCTCTTCCTCTCTGACAAATAAATAAATAAATAAAATCTTTAAAAAAAAAAGTGATATTAGCCTTTTTAAAAATCGTATTTGGGCACTGAATACAGTGGTTGGAGAACGTGAGTCTGCATACCCACCATTACTTTCTTCCTGCAAGCTGCAAGATTCTAGAGAAAAATCTCTATTCTTATTAAATGTATTATTATCCTAAGAAATATAACAGTATTCATCGTAATAAATTTACAAGGCATATCACTGTGGTTAAAAGCACAGACTTTGGGGTGCCTGGGGGGCTCTGTCAGTGAAGCATCTGCCTTTGGCTCAGGTCACGATCCCAGGGTCCCAGGATTGAGCCCCGCACTGGACTCCCTGCTCTACAGAGTGTCTGTTTCTCTCTCTCCCTCTGTGTGTGTTCTCTTTCTCTCTCTATCTCTCACTCTTTCTCAACTAAATAAACTCTTAAAAGAAAAAAGAAAAGAGCAATTGAGAAACTGAAGATCAAAAGAAATAACTAACTGGTACAAAAAGCGGTTAATCTTATTATCTTTGCTTCAAAATCACTAATAATACATCTCCATCAAATTTCCCCAGATACGATAATACCTTAGCCAATTTCAGTAGTATTAAGAGGTAACTGATGGGGGTGCCTGGGTGGCTCAGTGTGTTAAAGCCTTTGTCTTCGGGTCAGGTCATGATCCCAGGGTCCTGGGATCAAGCCCCACATCAGGCTCTCTGCTCAGCAGGGAGCCTACTTCCCCCTCTCTCTCTGCCTGCCTCTCTGCCTACTTGTGATCTCTGTCAAATAAATAAAATCTTAAAAAGAAAAAAAAGAGGTAACTGATGGCTGTTAATGATATATTCCATTCAATTGAGAAAATAAAGGGTGAATCTAATTGTTTCATGGGAATGGAACTGGTTTTTTTTATTGAACCCAAGCAGAGTTATTTTGGGATACAACCAAATTCTTTTATAAACAATTATAGATGACTCGAACCATGCGTAAATTCTATCTTATAAAAGAGAGATACAATTTTGTTGCTACAGAGTATATGGAAAGAACTTTTAAAGACAACTAATGCTTTCTCTATGTATATAAAATTTATGTAAATGAACTCCCCCACGCACCCCATTAACTCTTGAGGGACAAGAACACTCCTATGTGTGTTTTCCGCAGAGCACAGTTGGGTGAAGGCATGATTGTAGAGTCAGAGACATCTGGAACTGAACCTCATCTCCGACACAGAGTAGCCATGAGACCTTGAACAACTTACTTAAAGCTCCTACACCTGTTTCCTCAACTAGAAGACAGAGTGACAACTACACTCAGATGATTGTTTTGGGAATTGAGTAAGATGATGTACATACAAGACTCACACTACATGGAACATAAGTCCTGAGTGCTCAGAGAACAGGAAACGCAGTATTACTATTGTTACTATGGTTATTACCTTCATCATCAGACAAGACCTGGACAAATGGGTTATAATCACAGTTCTGTCCCCATCACGCAGATGACTTGGGCAAGTCACCCAACCATCCAGGACTTCCGTCTCCTCATCCAAGGAATGATACCCAACCCAGGGGAGAAAGAGGGGCTGGACTGCAGGGGGCATGGGCTATCTATGGGAACCCCGCAAAGCAGAGTGTGGGGGGCATGGAACCGGGGTATGAAGAGGCTGAGACCTGACTGCTTCCCACAAACTACAATTTCACCAACATATTAAAAAAAGAGGATTTTTCGAGAACGTTTCGGAGGGGCCAAGTTAGGTTTGCCAACAGTGAATTCTGCCAAATAATCAACAAAACCCAAGTATCGTGTATCTACCATCTCCATCCTTTCCTAAGAAGGGGAAATTTTATTGCCAGTGGAATAGGAAAAACATTGTCTTAGAATCTCCTTCAAACTGGGTGGTATTACATTTTGCCTCTGATAAAGATCTAGCCAGTGGAGGTCAATCAGTCTTTCAAGTATCAATATACTGAGCAAGAATGGGGAAAGAAAAAAAAAGAGGCCAAGAACCAAGCTTGGAAACACAGGTGGGATGAGGGACAGGCCAGGGAGCCACAGGCTGAACAGCCCTGAGCATCAGAAAGGTGGAGAGAGGCAGGGACAGAGTGAAAGTAAGGACCTTGAGCTTGTTATCAAGAAGTGAGGTACACATCAAAGGATGATGGTACACCTAAACATTTAAATTTTTTAAGTCAAATAAAACCAATTCTGTTTCATGATGCTATCCTGAAAAGCACTGGTTAATCTACATAAATGACCAGAAATAGAACTTACATTTGAAACCATCAGATTTGCATATTCATGAATTGATATGTTCATATTGCTATTTATTCAAAACAGCAAAACGACATTGGGTATAACATATAAGATATCAGTTACCCAGCTGATCTATATTATATAACATTTTATAATATATAAATTAGCATATTACTTATCATTAAAGTCATAGGCTACTGATTATAGTGGCTTTAGAATTGAGTCTAGGCAGGAATAAGGGAAAATGACCTAAAATCCAGTAGTAGGGAAAGATAATAGGCATACACCTTATAAGATGATATAATAAAATATTAGGCACCCTTAAATTCTTGTTTTCAAAAATGACTTAATGATTTATGGAAATGTTCTTGATATAAAAGGAAGTACACAAGGCATTACAGGTTTCTGTGTAAAAAAGTAATACCCGCTTTTATGAATATTTAATGGGTAAAGGCCTGGAAAAAGAAAACATTAAAAAAAAGATAACACTGATCCCCTCTGGAATTACAGGTAATTTAATATTCCTTCTATTTTTCTGTATTGTACACACATGAAACAACGAAATGCACCGGTTTCATAATTAGGAGAAACAATTATAAGTAAATGTAACAGACATACTTACTCTTGAGAATTTAGGATTGAAGTAGTTAATTACTCCAAATTCAAAGTAAGATGCAAAACCCTCTTTGAGCCAGACATCATTCCACCAGTTCATGGTAACCAAATTTCCAAACCACTTTTGGAGATGGGAGAAAAAAGAGCTTTCTTAAGTTTAATTTTAGGAATTCATTGTAATTGCATGTTTCAATACATATAAGGTCAAAGACACAATGAAACTGTAATCCCTCAATAACAGAAGTGGAAACAGGGCTCCAAAAAGCATGTTGTGGCTTTCACGTGAAGAGATGCCGGTCATGCATTTCTTTGAAAGAAGCATTTCACATCCAACAATTGAACGCAATTTTTGTTTTTGAACTGTCATGTTCAAAGATAAAGGTAAGCTGGAGTAGCAGGTCTGAAACTGTCCGCTTCCCCAAGAGTTATGTTAATTTAAATAAAGCAAAAGTCCAGAATGTTCACTTAACACCTACTGATTACAGCATCTTCGACTCTAGACTACATCAGTTATTTTGCTGGAAGCAGTTGTGTTGTGTTAAGAACATGTTTTGATCTGTGTCATGTCCAAGGCACTCATGCGTTCTGCTATAATTATTTTCTGTTTGGGCTTAACAAAGTGTCAAATGGATGATGAATGGAATCAGGAAAAAAAACCCCAATAATTTCTAACACCAACTAATCTGTGCCCTAGTATTTAATCAAATTCTTGCAATAGCTGTCACACGTTAATAGCTAGCAGCCGGTCTTCCAGAACTATGGGCCACTTGAGCAATCCTAAAAAATGGCATTGTGGGGCGGGGTGGGGGGAGCACTGATGAAACTTATCAAAGTTTGTGTTTACGCAACACGGTATTATTCTCTCCCAGTAAGTCATTCTTTCCCAAAACTTCTTGTGGATCCACGTAACAAGAAGAGAACAATTTCCTAGTTTAGATCACTTCTCTCTGAACAAACTTGTATTAATGGAGTCAAGGTCAAAAAGCAGATGTGAGAACCTCCATCAAACAAAACTAAAGTTCTAAAATCACATTATGGAAGCACAGATCTAATGAAATAAATCCTTGTTTACATCCCTTTTGGGTATGTGGCTTGAGGACTAGTGACCGCTCATCTCACTGACACGTTAACCAATTCCCTGTATCCCTTGAGCTCCTCTTCAAACAAAGCAAAAACAAAGTTCATAACAATCTACTGAGGAAAGGTGGGCATCTGTCAGTGACCTTTTTGAACATCCCTTATGTTAAGATGGAATGAAAAACAATCATAGCTCTGGTTGGCGTACTTCCCCTGAAGAGGGTTCTGGGGAGCAGCTTACTTTTGGATGTAAATACCTGACCTCCAAGGGCCTGGAAGGTCTCATCGGTCTGATCCAACACCAACAGTTCAAGTTCACGCAAGATCTGATTACACAGAACCTGCCTTCACTGACCCACTTCTTGAATAGTTTTTTAAAATCTGGTGTACCATCGAGGTTTTGTTTAGTTTTTTTTGCTCTCCTGGGTAGAGCGGTTGGGGATTATCTTCATGGGAAATAAGTGAAGTAAGAAAGAACATTTTACCACATGCCTGATGTCCGATCTCGTGGGAGAGAATGAAGGAGATCACAGCCTTTTTGTCTGTTACTTGATCATTTGCTTGCATCAACAATAATGACTCATCGAATATCAATAGTCCCCAATTTTCCATTGCGCTGTTGTCAAAAGTAGGCAAGGCAATTATATCTAAGTGGATTTAAATGGAGGGAAAAATGAAATCATCTCTTCCAAAAAAGTCTGAGATTCCCAGATATAATGATCTCCAAATGAAATCATAAAATTACTAAAAGAACATACAAGTGAATATTTATATTGTGAGGGGAGGCTCCATAGCTCAGGGGTTAGAGCACTGGTCTTGTGAGGGGAGAGGAGACGAATACCAAAGACAGAAGCCAGAAGACAAATAGTTTAGATTGTCTGAAAATCGAATACTTTTGATAAAGGACCTGGAGAGAGAAATCTTAAAACGTCACCATAAAAAATAAGCTTTACAAAATTGGCAAACAATCAATCTGGAGAGACATTTCATTGCATAAGATAGTCAGATGGCAAATACACATGTGAAAAGATGTTCTGCATCCTGTGTCATTGGAAAATTGCAAATTAAAACAATGAGATACTAGTATACACCTATTTGGGTGGTTTAAATCCAAAGCACACTACCGAAGGCTGGAAAAGATCTGGAGTGGCAGGAACTCTCTCATTGCTGGTGGGAAGGCAAAATGGTAACGGCCACACCAGAAGACAGTCTGCCAGTTTCTTATAAAATTTATAAATAAAGCCTGGCCCACATTCTAGCAATTGAGGTTATTTGCCCAAATGAGCTGGAAACTTAAGTCCACACAAAAACCGGCACAAGAATGTTTATAGCAGGGGCACCTGGGTGGCTCGCTGGGTTAAGCATCTGCCTTCAGCTCAGGTCATGATCTCGGGATCAAGCCCCGCATCGGGCTCTCTGCTCAGCGGGGAGCCTGCTTCCCGCCCCCCCCCACCCCGTCTATTTGTGATCTCTGTCTGTCAAATAAACACATTAAAAAAAAAAGAATGTTTATAGCAGCTTTATTTTTTTTAAAGATTATATTTATTTGAGAGAGAGAGAGAATGAGAGAGAAAGAGAGCACACAAGCAGGAGGTAGGGGCAGAGAGAGAGCGAGCAGCAGACATGCCACTGAGCTGGGAACCAGACTTCACTGGGGTCCCGATCCCAGGACCCTGGGCCATACCCTGAGCTGAAGGCAGACGCTTAACTGTCTGAGCCACCCAGCCACCTATAGCAGGTTTATCTGTAAGTGAAAAAAAAAAGGGAAGGAAGATGTCTTTCAATAGGTGAATGGACATACAAATTACAGTATATCTTTACAACAGAGTGTTATTCAGCAGTAAAGAAGCTATCCAACTATCCATCTGAAGTCCAAGAAGGAACTTTAAATGCAGGCTGCTACGTGAAAAGAAGCCAGTGGGGACAAGCCACACGTGGTATGATTCCACTTATGTAACATGATGAAGAAGATAAAACCGGAGAGACAGTAAAAAGATTGGTGGTTATCAGGACTTTGGGGAGAACGGAGGCAATGAACACAGGGGATTTTTATGACTGTGTAACTACTCTGTAATTTTGGATACATGTCATTATACACTTGTGAAAACTGATAGAATGAAAAGCACCAAGAGTGAAACCCAACATGCACTCTGGGTTTTATTTGACAATATTGTTGATCAGTTGTAACAAACGTAACACTCTAATGCAAGATATTTACAGTAGGAGAAACTGTGGGCTGGGGGAGGGGAACAGAGAGGTGGTAAATGAGAATTCCCTATACTGGGGTGCCTGGGTGGCTTAGGTGGTTAAGCATCTGCCTTTGGCTCAGGTCATGGGACCCTGGGATCGAGGCCGGCATCGGGCTCTCTGCTCAGCGGGGAGCCTGCTTCCCTCTCTCTCTCTCTCTGCCTTCTTCTCTGCCTACTTGTGATCTCTCTCTGTCAAATGAATAAATAAAATCTTTTAAAAAAAATGAATTGCCTATATTTGCTGTGTCATTTTCCTTGAACCTACAAGTAGCTCTAAAAAATAGTCTAGTTAATTTTTTTTAAAATTTTATTTATTTGAGAGAGAGATAGTTTGAAAGAACGTGAGCAAGGGGAGGGGCAGAGAGAGAAGCAGTCTCCCCACTGAGCTGACAGGGAGCCCCAACAATGCAGGGCTGGATCCTGGGACCCCAGGATCATGACCTGAGCCAAAGGTACACACTTAACCAACTGACTGAGCCACCTAGGTGCCCCAGAAGTAGTCTAGTTAAAATGATATATTTAAGTTTACCAAAAGACACCATAAACAAATTTGAAAGGCAAATCACAAGATGGTAAAAATATCTGAAGTGTTAGGGCCAATTTAATGTTAAAACCTGTTTAACTATTAGGGCCTGCTTAGCCAGAGCAACTCCATATTGCCTAGGTAGCCATATTGCTGTTTACATCCATGGACTTCATTCCGGGAATAAATGCCCCAGTAGTTCCTGGTACCGGTTCCGGGTATCGATTCCTGGAGTAAATGCCCTAACAATAGAAGCCATGTGCCTTGAAGTCTACTGTTATGCTCTATAAAACCAGCCTGTGAGATCAGGACGGGGTCGCTCTCTTCAGAGGTGGCCCTGGCCGGTCAGTCTGACTTCTAATGCTTGGCATAGAATAAACTTGCATAACTTTCACTTTGTCTCAGTCTCGTTTCTTTGATAACAGACCCCAACAGAAGCATATATCACAAGTAACTAGATAACTTTTCTCATATCTAAAAAACTCTAACACGTCAAAGTAAGAAAAACAAAAATGTGAACAATTCAATAAAGAAATAATTCAAGTAGCCAAAAATCTTATTTACAATGTTTTGCTTCATTATCAGAAACACAAGTTAAAGCAATGATATAACTTAATCTTTCAAATGGGTAAGAGGATTAAAAATTACTACTGCTAATATTAGTCTTAATAATGAGGCACAGGAAAATTGGCATATCGCCTATTGGTTACAGTGTGATTGCTACAATCTTTCTGGAGTGAGCAGAAAAACCCTTCATAATTTTTAAAAACGTTCCTACCTTTGACTAACTCACTCAACTTTGGGGATTTATACTAAGACAAATAGCATGGACATTTGTAAACATTCTCTGTGCTTTTCTTTAGCGTTCTTAAAGTGGCCAAAAAATGGGGGAGGATATGCAATTAGTCCAAACATTTAACCAGAGGATTTAATTAATAAATAATTTTGCCCAATTGATATGTAGGCATTCTATGTTTTAAAAATGACAGTATAGGGGGACCTGGGTGGCTCAGTGGGTTGAGTGTCTAGACTCCTGGTTTTAGCTCAGGTCATATTCTTGGGGTCCTGCCGTTGAGCCCCATGTCAGGCTCCCTGCTCAGTGTGGAGTCTGCTTGGGATTCTCCCTCTACCTCATCCCCTCCCCTTGCTTACAAACCACACACACACACGCGCGCACACACACACACACACACACACACACACACACTCACTCTCTCTCTCTCTCTCTCTCTCTCTCTTTCTCTCGGAATAAATGAATACATCTGTTAAAAATATAAAAAATAAATAAAATGACAATACAAAAGAACAGTTATCTGGATCATGTTGCCACATACAGTTACCTTTTAAAACAAAACAAAACAAAAGGCCATTAAAGAACAGTCTCGATTACTATGGTTCCATTTTTGTTAAAAACAAAGACGCAAATACAGAGATTGAGAGCGCCACAGACAGTGGGAAAACAGACACCAAAACGTTAGCTGCCTTATCTCTGAGTGGTAGCCTTATCTCTGAGCCTGTAACCCATTATTTTTTTTTTAAGATTTTATTTATTTATTTGACAGAGAGAGAGCACAAGCAGGCAGAGAGGAAGGCAGAGGCAGAGAGAGAAGCAGGCTCCCCACTGAGCAAGGAGCCCGATGTGGGGCTCGATCCCAGGACCCTGAGATCGTGACCTGAGCCGAAGGCAGCAGCTTAACCCACTGAGCCACCCAGGCACCCCCTGTAACCCATTATTAAGACTAATATTAGCAGTAGTAATTTTTAATCCTTTTACCCATTTGAAAGATTAAGTTATATCATTGCTTTAATTTGTGTTTCTGATAATGAAGCAGAACATTTTAAATAAGATTTTTGGCTACTTGAATTATTTTTTTAGTGAATTGTTCACATTTTTGTTTTTCTTATTTTGATGTGTTAGTTTTTTTAGATATGAGAAAAGTTATCTAGTTGCTTGTGATATATGCTTCAGATATTTTTACCAGCTTGTGATTTGCCTTTCAAATTTGCTTATGGTGTCTTTTGGTAAACTTAAATATTTCAGGATATTTTTATTCTTTTTTGTGCGTTTTTCGATTTTTCCGAATTTTCTATGGTGTGATCATTTACTAGTTTTAAAATTAGAAGAATAGAGGCACCTGGGTGGTTCAGTTGGTTAAGCGTCCATTTCTTGATTTTGGCTCAGGTTGTGATCTCAGGGTTATGAGATCGATCCCAGCAATGAGCTGGGTATGGAGCCTGCTTCAGATTCTCTCTCTCCCTCTCCCTTTGCCCCTCCCCCACCCAAAATAAACCTAGAAGAACAAGAAAACATTTTAACTTGTTTTGCTAATGGAAGAAATTCCATTTTCATAGTGTGCGCTAGGTTTGCCTCATGAATGCTCTGTGCTGTGTTCGATATATTACGTTTATTTATACATGGTTGAAGTTGGTGTGTGCAGTAAAAGGTATCCAAGCCATTACCTAGCCTCCTCTAGTTCATGCTCTATTATCTTTGGGTGTACTTAATTGCTAAGCCTAGGTTAGCACTCTTCTACCTCCCTTTTCCTTCAAATGCAGCATCCCCCTACTCCATGAACCCACCCACTTTCCTTGCAAACAAACACCGCTGGGCTCCACTCAAGCCAATCCTTTTTGCTCTCTATTACAGCCAAGCCACTCTCTGCTTGAGCTGTTTGGTACCCACAGGCAACCTCCGTTTAATCTATGAATGCCCCCAACCTTGAGGTCCAATCTTAACCAACTCTAAAAAAATATTCCTTATTAAATCCTGATAATGATTTACCAAAAAAAAAAAAGTGGGGGGTTTACCTTCGATGCACAATTCTGGGAGTGAGCAAATTCTTGTTTCTTGATCAACTAGCAATGCTGGCTCACAGAGGGCCTTATTTTATTTTATTTTAATGATTACCTCATTATTTTAAAATAATGACACAGGGGCACCTGGGTGGCACAGTCGGTTAAGAGTCTGCCTTTGGCTCGGGTCATGATCTCAGAGTCCTGGGATTAAGCCCCGCACTGGGCTCCCTGCTCGTGGGGAACCTGCTTCTCCCTCTCCTTCCCTGTTTATGCTGTCTCTCACTATCTCTTTCTCTAATAAATAAAATCTCAAATATAAAATAAAATAAAATAAAATAAAGTAAAATAATGATATAAATACCCATGAATCTGACTCTCTCCCTTTAGAGTAAGGGCTGGCTAACCCTTCTTTAAAGAGCCAGATAGGAAATATTTCCAGCTTTGTGGGTCGTATGTTTTCTGTCACATCTTTAACTCGAGCATTGCAGAGCAAAAACATCTGTAGACACTATGTAGGCAAATAAGCATGCTGTGTTCCAATAAAACTTTATTTATGGACCTTGAGATTTGAATTTCATATAGTTTCCATGTGTCACAAAATATTCTCCTTTTGATTTTTTTTTTATTTTTTTTTTTGTTTGCCATTTAAGAAACATGAACACCACTCTGAGTTCGTGGGCCATCCAGAAAAGGGCAGTGGGCCAGATCTGATCGCTCGTCAGCCCCTAATTGAGAATTCTGCCAATAACTCATACTGTGACTCCCAGACCAGCGGCATCAGCACCACCTGGGAACTTAGTAGTGATAAGAATTCTGAGACCAACCACAGACCTCCTGAAACAGAAATTCTTGGGCCAGCATCTGTGTTTTAACAAGTCATCTGGATGATTCCAAAGCTGCTGAACTTTGAGAAGAGCAGACTTACATCTCTCTTTGAGCTCCTTTTCAACTCACGCTATAGTGTCTTCTTCCAGCAGCTAAGTCACTATCCTCAAAGGTTAGTGACACTATCCCCAAAGGTTGGGGGGCTTTGTTTTTAAACTTTAGGAAAAAAATGTTTCATTTTCATTGTTATAGAGGTTTTTGTTGTTGTTGTTGTGTGAATGAAACATAATTTATCTACCCATTCTCCTAACGATAGCCATTTTGGTGGCTTTCTGTCTGGGGCTATATTATAAAAAGTATAGCTATGAATATTCTTGTACATGTCTTCTGGTACATGTGCTCAAATTCTTCTTGGAGATAAACTTAGAAACGGAATTACTGAGATTTAAGTTATTCTAACGATCAACACTGCAAGATAATAAATACATTTCAAAGTTGTGACAATTGATACTCCTTTCAACATGACCATTTTTCTACCATTCAGCATTTGTTAGATGCCTTTTTAACAAGTGAGTAGGCATAAAATGGTGCCTCGCTGTGGCCTTGGGCATTCATTTCTTAGATTACTAATGAGGTTAAATAACCTGCATAAGTTTATTAGCCACACGTGTTCCTTCTTCCATAAAATATCAATTTGTGTATCTTTTCCTTATTTTTTCTTCTGTATTTTCTTATTTATTTGCAGGGGTTCTTTATATATTGAGGCTACTCCCATTACCACTTCTTAATCTTCTTTCTCTTAAGACTTTTATTTAGCCAGCCTATTGTCTCGTGCTTGGTGATTCGTGGCTTTTGCTTCTACATCCTGAAGCTACCACCCTCAACTCAGCTACTCAGAGTCCCAGTCACCTGCTTCTCTTGTATTAAAAAAGCACCAAGATGGGTTCCCTGGGTGGCTCAGTCGGTCAAGCACTGGACTCTTGGTTTTTGGCTCATGTCATCATCTCAGTGACCTGAGGTCGAGCCCTGTGTCGGGGGTCTCAGTGACCTGAGGTCAAGCCCTGCCTGTCCCTTTCCCTCTGCCTCTCCCCCTGGCTCCCATGGATACACACACTGTCTCTCCCTCTCTCTCTCTCTCTCTCTCAAATAAATAAATAAATCTTTAAAAAAACTAAAATAAAAGTCTGCAAATCTTAAAAGCCCATATTTATTATTTTTTTAAAAAGTATTTATTCATTTGAGAGAGAACAAGAGAGAGAGCCTGAGCAAGGCAGCAGTAGGCAGAAGGAGAAGCAGACTCCCTCACTGTTCCGTATTTTTTTAAATGGCTCGACCAAGAGTTAAAATAACTAGAAAACATTCATTTATGTTTCTCTTAAAGATCCAGTAATAGAAAATCTCCTTATTTTAATCACCTGTCATTTTGACGGTTGTGATCGAGGGCCACCCGTGTGTCACATTGGTTGAGAGGCTATGAAGGATATCGAAATGTGCCAACTATAACCCTGATTTCCAGAAGCTGATAATCTAGTCAGATTTTACATGGAATTACTGAACAAATTGCACATACTCATTCCCTTCACATACACACACACACACACACACAGTTTACTGTTTACTATTCTGAAAGAAGCATTATCCATAGACTCTGAGGGTACCAAAAAAAAAAAAAAAAAAGTCAGATCCCAAGCCCAGGTTACTCTTGATCTAATGGAGAGCAGGCGAGGCTGGGGGTGGGGGTGGGAGTGACAATTAGGATCCAGTTAAGTCAAGAGCTTGAATAGAGAAGTGCACAGGATTCTGTGGAAGCATGAGGAAAAGGGAGTCAGGGAAAGCTGCCTGGAGGAGGGGGTGCTGAGTGGAGAAATATACGAATTAACCAGTTGGGGAGACATCATCGCTGGATGTTCAAAGTGCCCATGTAAGAGAGCCTGGGAGAGAGGAGAAGAGGAAGGTGGAGGAGGGGATGGGGCAGGGGGTGGGGTGTGGGGCAGGGGGGAGGTGGGCAAAGCCTCCTTCCAACTCTGAAGAATTGCTGAAAGCCCTGAGAGTGTGGCAAGAGATCCATGTTGTAAAGACAGAGTAGACTCTGGACTTGATCTTCAGAGCAATGGGAAGCCAGGGAGAGGTTTTAATGAGGACAGTGATACGGTCATTGGATTTCATTAGGGAAAGATCCCCTGGGCCTCAGGGTGGGAGATGGAATTGAGGGGGCAAGAGGGAAGGGAGCATAATCCAGTGAGGGCTGCTGGGGGTGAAGATGGTGGTGGTACAAACTAGGGAGCGCTGGGGGACACAGGGAGGTGGGGATGGAGGTAAATGGAGGGGGCTAGTTGGATGGAGGGATGCTTTATGGAACGGGGTGTGGAACTTTTCTTGCCTAGACAAGGGTCATCTTGAGATCCTCCAGCCTCAGAAGCCTCCAAGGCTAGGCTTCTGATGCCCCCAACTCCTAAAAGGACAGATTTCACTTCTGGGATCCCTGCCTGGGCCAAGCCGGCCTCATGCCCCATTCCTGAGCCAGCAATGCCCTCAGCTCGCTGGACCAAGTTCAGGAGGCTGGAGTTCCCAGATAGGGACTTCCTACCTTCTTCCACCATCTGCCTGTGTAGATAGAGCACACGTTTCCCAAGACTTCACATAATATGTCAGAGGAATAAAATACATTTGCACAATATACTCTCACCGTAGACAGAGAAAACACTAAGCGACTTTCTAAGCTGAGTGATTCACACAATTTGAAGGACACACACTGTCGATCTATAACTAATAAAACGTTTACGTGCTTCCTCTAGGATCCTAGTGTTCACACGTGATTCCAATTTTACACAACAAATCTTGACAGACAGGACCTCACGTCCTCACCCCATGACTCACAGCTAAAGAGTAGGAGTAAAAACAAACAGAACCCAAACAAACCCCACCCCGCAGAAAACCACCACCACCCCAAAACCCTCATTCATGGGAATGGGAGGAACCCACGTAGGCCCGCTGAAAGGATCCAGAATATCGCCTCACTCCCATGCACGGGAAGAGGAAAGGACAGAATGCAAGAGAGAAAACCGGGGCTGGAGGCTGGGAGGCTGGCAGTGAGTACCCAGGAGGAATCTAAATTCTGAGAACACAAAGGAATCTAAATCCAGAAGACTGGGCACACAGCATTGTACAGAGAAACAGCAGACAGGCCCCTCTGTGTTCAGGAAGGTGTAGGACATGAGGCTGGGAGGCAGGCAGGGCTGCCCCCAAAAGAGCAGTTAAATGGAGACAGTGGGCCCTCAAAGGCTCCTCTGTGTACCTTTGACCTTAACCTAGGGCCCCCGTAATAGGAAACCCATTGCATCAGAAAGGAAGACAGCTCACCTGTTTTGGGAAGAGGGTAACTAATATTAAATAAATCTTCCAGAAAAGAGAAGATGGGACCTGTGATGTTCAGAGCAAAGTCTGCATTTCCGTTCTTGATGGAGTCTTTCCGGGCCCAGATGCGTATCTAAATCAGAACAATTAAGTGGCGATTAGGAAAAGCAGTCCTGACTTTGGCAATGGGTGGGGGGGCTGCCTGCCCCAGTTCCCTGATGCTCTAGAGTCAAAGCCTTACTTTTCGAGAAGAAGCTATGGAACAGAAAATTGGCAGGTCACCCCTGAGCAGCACGGGGGGTTAGAGGAGTGCCGACCCTATGCAGTCAAAAACCCACAGATCACTCTTGGGTCTCCAAAAACTTAACTGCTAATAGGACTGCTGTTGACTGAAAGCCTTACTGACCACGGGAACAGTCACTTAATACACATTTCGTCTATTACACACTGCTTCTTACAAGAAAGCTAGAGAAAAGACATTATTAAGGAAATCGTAAGGAAGAGAAAATACATTTACAAGGCTGAACTATACACAAAATCTGTGTATAAGTGGTCCTGCTGGGTTCAAATCTGTGTTGTTCCAGGGTCAACCAGAAACGTGTACATGTAGCCCTGGAGAAGATCCAGAAGGTTGTTGGCTACGATGTGAGCAGTGATTCTCCAGAAGGGATCATTTCAATGTTTTCCAGTAACACGTCTAACTTTGAGAATTCTGAAGTAATCCTGGCACCCGTATCTACCCCGACAGGAAGTGTAGACTCTGTCTTTGAATAAAAGGGCATCTCAGACCCTTGCCTCCCCTTTTTAGGACCTATTTCCAGTGTTCCCAAACAGAATCGTGCAGTTAGCAGGGGTTATACAGTGTGGCACAGATTGTAGGCGTCCTCATCACGCAAATTTAAAATGGCTTCTTCATGCTTGTTAACGCTAAGGTCGTGAAGAGGGCGAGCTTGTCTTCAAAGTTTTAAATAAGGTTATAGTTCCCTTCATTCAAAGAAGTTCACCAGGAGTTTTATGATTTTACAGCTGTGGAGTAACTGAATTACAGTCTCTGTTTATGATATTTCCTCTTTAGTAGGTAAAGAGACATCCCTGTCTTGGTTTGTTAGTTTAATGTGACCGAGCTATTGTTGGGGCCTTTGGGAACTGATTTTGCCACTCTGGTGGCTCCTTTGTTTCTGTTTTATTATTGTCATTCATTATTATTATTATTATTATTATTATTATTATTATTTATAAAATATTGTATTTATTTGAGAGAGCAAGCACAAGCAGGGAGAAAGGCAGAGGAAGAGGGAGAAGCGGGCTCCCTGTTGAGCAGGGAGCCTGATGCGGGACTGCATCACAGGACCCTGAGATCATGACCTGAGCCAAAGGCAGACGCTTAACGACTGAGCCACCCAGGCGCCCCTCGTTATTATTTCAATATGAAATCATTGTCTATGCCATGACAATAGCATCGGAGCACTTTTTGATGGGGTTGCTAGCGTTAATGCCAGGGAACATGCACGAAACTCAAAAAACCCTGGAATGAAAGTTAGAAATGAGGGGGCACCTGGGTGGCTCAGTGGGTTAAGCCTCTGCCTTCAGCTCAGGTCATGTTCCCAGGGTTCTGGGATTGAGCCCCGCATCAGGCTCTCTGCTTGGCGGGGAGCCTGCTTCTCCGCCCCCCCTCCCCGCCTACCTCTCTGCCTACTTGTGACCTCTGTCAAATAAATAAATAAAATCTTTAAAAAAAAAAAAAAGAAAGAAAGTTAGAAATGAGGGAATTGAGGTAATTGTCCTGACATGAATACCGTCAATTTGAGAAGGAGTTCTCTGCTGAACACCAGAGCAAAGGCGAGGAAAATGAAAAGCAGGACAACAATATTTGCAGAATGCTGAGCTCCAAGAACGCATTCACCTTCCTCTGCTTGTATTTCTGCTGGGAAATTTGTCTTGAATTATGTGAATTTGGAATTACGTGAGGTCTTCAGGAATGTTCCCCTCTCACAGAATGTAACCACCTGCTTCTGGGGCCTCTGACCTCATGCTTTTTGGCCTCCTCTACGCTGCAGAGGCCTCCTTCTCCTGGGAAGGAGGCCCCAGGATTCAGCCCTGCCCCTACACTGTGCTTACCCCACCCCCACCTCTAGTTCCAGGCAAAGGAAAGATGGCAGCACCCAAGCCCACACCCAAGCTCAGTGGAAAGAACATACCTTCCTCCTGCATTCAAGGTGGATGCATTTTCACTGCAACATTTGGGGAAATAACTGAACCTCTGTAGGATCGACTTTCAGTTTCAAAAGCTCCTCCCCTAAACGACCATCTTATAAGCTAAAGGGGAGGCTGACAATGGAGACTTCAACCTGCATGGGGGCGGGGCTCACACCAAACAGTGAGGAACACTTGGGAGATACAGCTGTAAAGTCCTTCAAAATCACACCTCACTGCCCCTCAGTGTGATCTTGGGGTCCTCCCTGCACCCAGCAGACCTCAACACCTAAGAGAGTTTGAAAATTTTTACACGTGCCTGTGTGCGCTAAGGTCTGCTCAAAAGATGTTATTTCCAACCTTAGGTCCGTGTTTCTTCGTGTCAAGGATTAACCGCCTTTTCAATCTCACTAAATTTTTATCTCTTCCTTGACAAGCAATTGTTTGTATCATCCGGACCCTCTTCCAAGAGAACATTCTGGTTCCCCTGTAGGATAGACGGTGGACTCCTTCCCTTTGTAGAGAGCTGAGCCTGCGCCAAATATAGCATTCCACTGATAAATTCATCCCAAGTTTCAATGTTCTGGCGAAGAACATGCTTCTCTTAGGCCCGTTCCATTTCCTCTTTGCTTCAGTGACAGCTGGTTTTCTTTTCAGGGCTATCCTTCACCAAGAAATGGACTGGCCCCCTTTTCTCAGACTTTCTGTGGAAGGGCAGCCCCGAGAGCCACAAGCCACTTGAGCTGCAGGAGCTGACACACCCCCTTGGGTCACTCCATCATGCCAGGTCCGAAGCACGTGTTTCACATCATGCCTGAGGAGATTTGTCAGGAGGGGTCTTGAATGTTTCATGTGGTCTGTGGTCCGTCTGTGACTCTCAAGGACCCACCAGTGTCCCTTTGGGAAGAGAGAAATCAGGCCGCAGCCAAGAGCTGAGGAGAAGCTGCGGTTTGCCTGGAAGACGGTACAGTTCAGTCAGCCTTCGGAGGAGTACCTGGGAGTGATTCTCGCCCTGGCCAGAGGCTTGTCCACTCCACAATACAAGTCCACGGTATAAGCCTGGAACATGCTGGGCCCGGGACAGAGTCTCCGCCCACTCTGGGGGCTTGATTGTCCTCAGCTCTGGGAGGTGGACGCCAGGAGGAAGAGCACAGCTTGCGGAATCGGCCTTACTTCCCTCACTGCTCCAGGGTGAGCCGTGAGCCAGCAGGTGAAGGACTGCTGCAGGTACCCAGATTATTTGCCCCAAGGGTGACTACAGAGGGCAGGCATAACTGGGCGGAAAAAAGGTGTTGGGACAGGGCACCTCCTTCACCCAGCTCCGGGGAAGTGCCGGGCGTCCCTGAGTTGAGCCAGCCCACAACCCTGATTCATCACCTGCAGGCACTGTTTCCCCCACGGTGGTTGTTCCTGGCTGGGACCTGGAGCTGTTGGGGGTGCTGGACGCACTGTCACCCCCCTTCAAGGCTGTAGTCACCTCATGTACTAAACGGCTGGCATACCTGAGCTTCGAGGTGCTGGTGTGGGAGAATCGTGGCATCACATCTGTAAAGTTTCCTTTCCTTTTCCTTTTCCTTGCCTTTGCCCTTGTCCTTGCCCTCCCTTCCCTTCCTTTAGTTCTTTTGTTCTTCTTTTCTTGATGTTATTTATTTATTTGGGAGAGAGGGAGCAAGCATGATCAGAAACAGGGGCAGAGGGAGAAGCAGACTGCCCCCCCCCGGAACATGGAGCCCAATGTGGGACTCAATCCCAAGACTCTGAGATCATGACCTGAGCTGAAGGCAGATGCTTAACTGACTGAGCCCCTCAGAGGCTCCCCAAACTAAGAGTTTCAACAGAGCTTGGAAACAGTCAAAGGGGCCACCAGGAGGTGACGATGGGAGATGGAGGTGTAACCCTCACGGATGCAGAAGGAATGGCCCAACCATCCACAGCCAGAACGGAGGCACCCTTACCTGGATGGTCTTCCTCACTCACCTCCTTGCCCCTTTCGGTTCTGTCCACATAGGCATAGTCACATATGGCCAAGGCTACTAAGTAAGTCGGCATGTGGGGCGTCGTGGAAAAGGTAGTGACGGTCCACGCGCTTCCGTTCCTGTCTCTCCTCACAGACTGACCTACGGAAACCAATTTCAGCCCAGATCACTGCAAACCAAGGCACTAACAGCCACCTTTGAAACGATGTGTCCGGGCATGTGTCACCCAGCGACTTCCTCCCAGCCAGTCCCGAGAGTCCGAGCCGTTTGTCTTTCTCCACCCCGAACTCATCAAAACCATATGAAGTGAAACAAGTCAGAGAAAGACGAACACCATATGATTTCACTGATGTGTGAAATTTTAAAAGCAAAACACGTGAACCAACCAACCAACAAACAAAAAAACTGGAAACAGGCTCATAAATATAGAGAATAAAATGGCGGTTGCCAGTGGGACGGGGTTTGGGGAAGTGGGCAAAAGGGGTGAAGGTGGGGGCGCCTGGGTGGCTCAGTGGGTTAAAGCCCCCGCCTTCAGCTCGGGTCATGATCTCAGGGTCCTGGGGTCGAGCCCCGCATGGGGCTCTCTGCTCAGCGGGGAGCCTGCTTCTTCTTCTCTCTCTGCCTGCCTCTCTGCCTACTTGTGATCTCTGTCTGTCAAGTGAATGAATAAAATCTTTAAAAAAAAAGGGGGGAGGGGGCGAAGGTGATCCACAGCTACAGACTTCCAGTGATAAAATCAATGCCACGGAGGGGCGCCTGGGTGGCTCGGTAGGTTAAGCATCTGAATCTTGGTTTTGGCTCAGGTCATGACCTCAGGGTTGTGAGATCAAACCCTGCCTTGGGCTCCGTGCTCAGCGTGGAGCCTGCTTGAGATTCTCCGTCTCCCTCTGCCTCTGCCTCTCCCCCTGCTAGCATGCTCTCTCTTAAAATAAATAATTAAAAAAAATATATCAGTGCCATGGTGATAGAATGTACAGTGTAGAGAAGAATGTCATCAAGAATCCTAACTTTGTATGGTGACAGAGTGTAACTACACTTATCATGGGGAACAGTTCTTAATGTCACATAATCGCTAAATCTCTATGACGTACCTTTGAAACTCATGTAATTGCTTATGTCCATGATACTTCAATTAAAAACAAATGAAGAAACAGCATTAGGAAGATCTAAGGACAGCATCTTTCCTCTGAATCAGTATCTTGAACAATATTGATGGAGTGCTAAATCCACGGGCACTAGGAGGCAACTAAGAGACAATACACCTCTTCTCTTTTCCATCACTTCTGTTTCCTAGACCGGTCCAGCTCTCAGAACACTTCATCTAGAGCCTCCCAGGCCCACAGAAGGTCAAGGAGGGGCAATCTGACCATCGTCAGGTTTCAGCAAAGTCTTCCGTGGAGGCAGGCTTGGTCTTTAAAGCCAGGGACTGGATATCTGGTGTGAATGGGGCTGACATACAGTCACAGGGAGTGGTGGGGACCACAGTGGTGGGGACTGGGGGGCCATCCGCAGCAGACAGCCTCTCATGATCTCTAACTATTGCTGTCACGAAGGACCTGCATGCCTGGGGTCCTTAGATCTTCTAAGTTTACAAGGAAGTAAAAGATCTTGATTTTTATGAGAAATCTCTGGATTTTTCAAAGTTCAATCCGAAGGGGGGAAAAATCATGTGAGCCAAATGAAACACATCTGTGCACCAGATTCAGACCAAGTCTGCTGGCCTGTTATCACTGATGATCAATATGGAAGGCCAAATTTGCAGGCAGACGGGCCTCCAAGGAATAAGAACAATGTGGTGTCCCCAGTTTGCAATGCAGAAAGAATCGGGATTTACCATCATTGAGATGCTGGTGCTGATACAGACCCCAAGTGCCCGCTTTCCCTAATTATAATACTCTGCCAATGCATGGTCTAGAAAAGCTGTTGATAAAGGTATTACAGAGGTGCCTGGGTGGCTCAGTGGGTTAAAGCCTCTGCCTTCAGCTCAGGTCATGATCTCAGGGTCCTGGGATCGAGCCCTGCATCGGGCTCTCTGCTCAGTGGGGAGCCTGCTTCCTCCTCTCTCTCTGCCTGCCTCTCTGCCTACTTGTGATCTCTCTCTCTGTCAAATAAATAAATAAAAATTTTTTAAAAAAAGGTATTACAGAGTTAAATATATATACGTACACAAATATATGCCTGTATGCATACACATACATATGTATCATTAATATACACGTATACATGAGGACAGGAAATATTACTTACCCAGCTTTGGCATGTTGGAAAGGGCCACATAGCTCGGATCATGAATAATTGTAACATTAAAAGTTGCCTTTAGAGCTGGCTCATCAAAACAAGGAAACACACTTCTGGCAAACGTGGGTTCCATCTGAGATGCCAAAAGGGCCCTGTAATACATTTTTGGGAAAAATCTATTTATTTTTGTTTCAAATTAGGGGAAACAAAAAAAACTATGGAGGGATGACAGCTTATAATTATATTCAGGAAGGAGCTAGAATGTTTCCCTTCATCTTCCTCGCTGCCCTTCCAGTTAAAACACACACATTTTCCTTCTCACCACACCTTGGAATTCTTCTAAGACCTAAAATACAAAGGACCTATTTAATTTTTGACCACAAAATACTATTTACTTCATTACGTCATATGCCTTTAAAACCCCGTGCAAACAAAATAGGAACAAATATAGCAAATACGCAATGACAGGCTTTTGAGAACCAAGTTATTTTTTAAACGAGGATGACTTTTTGGGGAATGGACTATTGCTCTCATCTTCCACTGCAGTACAAGCAACGTCTGCTGCAGAATGTCTACATTTTTATCTTTTTCTCACATGGTCCCTCTTCTTCCTGGTTGAAAATTTAGAAAAGGTTTTATTCTGCACCCACTGGGGTAAGTGATCTAAGTCCATGCCAAATGAAAGAAAAATAACTTTCATTTACATTTGGGTGGATTTATCAAATCCCTACTGCTCCTTCCCCCAACTCCATGGAAAAATATAAAAAGTGACATTATCCCACAGCACACTGATGATTTACTAGGAAAAGTTTAGGGACAAGAGTGCCCTGAGCTAATGAAGAGATCTGCAGGTTCAGCCTCTGTAACACGGCCTGAATCTAAGAGATGGGTCCTTGCTACCAACTTTCTTCTCAAAATAAACCCACAGTTTCATTAAGACTTGGCCACCTGGGGCCCTGATTTGGAATGACAACTATGGATGCTAATTCTTTTTTTTTTCCTAAGGTCCTGGGGCTTGGTGTCCCAGATGCATTTACCCTTGTTTCAGGCCCAGCTCTTAGATAAATAACAGGGGAATTCAATAGGTATGGAGGAGTATGGGCCCCCCACTATCACACCCATCTCCACTCACTGCAAGGCCCCCCACTCACATGAAAATTCACATGCAACAGTCATGCCTCTCCAGGAAGCCAGCTTGATGTGTTCATAACCTCACTGTGACAAAACAGTAATTTTCTTTTTTTTTTTGAAGATGTAATTAATTTTATTTTTCTTTCACATGTTTTTTTATTAACATATAATGTATTATTAGCCCCAGGGGTATAGGTCTGTGAATCACTGGGTTTACACACTTCACAGCACTCACCATAGCACATACCTTCCCCAATGTCCCAAAAAACAGTAATTTTCAACAAGCCTGTCTTGCCCTATATGTTTCCTCCCACTTAACTTTGCCCCAGCTTGCAGGGTCTGGAAGGTGGCCCGTGACCTCTGACCTCTGTGAACTCTGACCTCTGTGAACACTTTGGCTGCAAGACTTTGCTCCAAGTCCTGCTAGCTGAGCACCCCTTAACAACGAGTCATGCCTTCCTGCTCCCCCACCCAGAAAGTAATGGCACTATCGACCTTTTATTGCTGTTTGAACTTTCACCTTATTCATGACTGAATTTATCAATTAACAACCTACAGATTCCCTATATTCCTTTCAGTCTCCCAGATTGCTCTCCATATAGCTGAACTGTAGCAGAATTCAAGGAGGGATAAGTTAATGGGGTCAGGGTGGAGAGTTGGAAGTCACCAATTACAAAGGATTTAGACAGGTGTCAAAGGTCACAGCTGAGGTCAAGCTGAAGACGAACTATAGTCGTCTTCCTAATAAAGTTCAAACTACCAGAAGTTAGGGGTCATGTATTTCCTCTTTGTATCACTTTTAACACTTGGCGAAAACATGGGTTCGTAGCAACTGAGTAAGTATTTTCTCAGCTTCGGAGGGACTATAAAATAAAGGCACCTTGATCTGATATCTCTATATTTATAAGTACACAGTAATTTTATGGTGTCTGTTGCCCTGGTATTTGTTTTGTAGTATTGGTTGCTATCTTTAAAAGATAGGTGATGAAGTAGAAAAAAGAAATGATTGACAATGTAGTGGGAAGAATATTGAGCAGGAAGGGGGGTCTGGGTGGCTCAGTCGGTTAAGCGGCTGCCTTCAGCTCAGGTCATGATCTCAGGGTCCTGGGATCAAGTCCCGTATTGATCAGGGCTCCTTGTTCAGCAGGGAGCCTGCTTCTTCCTCTGCCTGCTGCTCCTCCTGCTTGTGCTCACTCCCTCTCTCTCTCTCTCTCTGATAAATAAATAAATAAATAAATAAATAAAATAAGTAAAGCTTGGGAACACCTCCACTGCCACGACGGCACAAACATATGACTCTTGAGGAAGTTGTGAGGTGAGAATATCAGACTCTTCAGGCAAGTGGGAAAGTTGTATGCTCTTCAAAAGGGGCTACTCTACCTCTGAACCAAATAATATACTGTATGTTAATTTACTGATTTTAAATTAAAAAGGTGGGGGGGGAAGAGGGGGGCTACAGGTTCAAAAAGGCTAAGCAGAGACAATCAGCTCAGAGAGTCACCGCTTTAACAAACAACAAGCACATGCCTTCCCATTTTGTGATTTAGGCCTCTAGAAAAGTGCAATAAAAGAAACTCTTGGATTTTACTCAACTATTTCCTTCCCGGGTTTTCTGCAAACAAACAAAACGGGAAAGATCCCTATAACACACAGCCTTTCTGGCTTGCAGTCTTCACTCCCAAGGTCAGGACCAGCCAGCAGCACACACGATCTGGTTATGCCACATCTGGGAACTGAAGGCTGGTGTTAGTTCCCCTGCTCTCTCTGCTTTGGACTCAAGCAACCCTGTAAGGATACCCTGACCTCAGAAAAGAGAACCATCCATCCTCTGGTGCCCACAGAGCTCACTGAAACATGCTATTACAGTGCCTGTGAAGTCTGGGTTGAAAGCAATCAGCTGGGGAGGGGGGTAGTTAATTTGGGAGAGCTTGTCTCATAGGGGCTTGGTATTTCAAAGCCACTCTCCTGCCCTCTGGTATAGCTGGAGAATCCTGGACTCACCACGTTCTTGCATTGGAGGAGGTCTTGGGGTCAAGACCACATGATGTCCTTGGGCGGTCCATCTCCTGCCACGTTAGAAATATACACTCAAGACAGCATGGTACTGGCATAAAAACAGACACATAGACCAGTGGAACAGAGTAGAGAGCCCAGATATGGACCCTCAATTCTATAATCTTCGACAAAACAGGAAAAAATATACAGTGGAAAAAAGACAGTCTCTTCAATAAATGGTGCTGGGAAAACTGGACAGCTATATGTAGAAGAATGAAACTCGACCATTCTCTTACACCATACACAAAGATAAACTCAAAATGGATAAAAGACCTCAACGTGAGACAGGAATCCATCAGAATCCTAGAGGAGAACATAGGCAGTAACCTCTTCAATATCAGCCACAGCAACTTCTTTCAAGATATGTCTCCAAAGGCAAAGGAAACAAAAGCGAAAATGAACTTTTGGGACTTCATCAAAATCAAAAGTTTCTGCACAGCAAAGGAAACAGTCAACAAAACAAAGAGGCAACCCACGGAATGGGAGAAGATATTTGCAAATGACAGTACAGACAAAAGGTTGATATCCAGGATCTATAAAGAACTTCTCAAACTCAACACAAACAAAACAGATAATCATATAAAAAAATGGGCAGAAGATATGAACAGACACTTCTCCAATGAAGACATACAAATGGCTATCAGACGCATGAAAAAATGTTCATCATCACTAGCCATCAGGGAGATTCAAATTAAAACCACATTGAGATATCACCTTACACCAGTTAGAATGGCCAAAATTAGCAAGACAGGAAACAACATGTGTTGGAGGAGATGTGGAGAAAGGAGAACCCTCTTCCACTGTTGGTGGGAATGCAAGTTGGTGCAGCCACTTTGGAGAACAGTGTGGAGATTCCTCAAGAAATTAAAAATAGAGCTTCCCTATGACCCTGCAATTGCACTACTGGGTATTTACCCCAATGATACAGATGTAGTGAGAAGAAGGGCCATCTGTACCCCAACGTTTATAGCAGCAATGGCCACGGTCGCCAAACTGTGGAAAGAACCAAGATGCCCTTCAACGGATGAATGGATAAGGAAGATGTGGTCTATATACACTATGGAATATTATGCCTCCATCAGAAAGGATGAATACCCAACTTTTGTAGCAACATGGACGGGACTAGAAGAGATTATGCTGAGTGAAGTAAACCAAGCAAAGAGAGTCAATTATCATATGGTTTCACTTATTTGTGGAGCATAACAAATAGCATGGAGGACAAGGGGAGTTAGAGAGGAGAAGGGAGTTGGGGGAAATTGGAAGGGGCGGTGAACCATGAGAGACTATGGACTCTGAAAAACAATCTGAGGGGTTTGAAGGGGTGTGGGGTGGGAGGTTGGGGGAACCAGGTGGTGGGTATTAGAGAGGGCATGGATTGCATGGTGTGTGGTGCAAAAACAAGGAATACTGTTATGCTGAAAATAAAAAAAATAAAAATAAAAAGTTTTATAAGCAAAAAAAAAGAAGAAATATACACTCAGTAAGGTATTTCATTCCAAGGCATTTATGGCCGCCATATGCCTACAGATCAAGCTACCAAGTGCTGAGTAACATAACTGGCCAAGGGTTAAGTAAGACCTGAAAGTGGTCCCCACTGAGTTGTTCTTGCACAACGACACACTCAGAAATCCAAATGTTTAGTAAAGACGGATGTTACACCACTGGTCTGTGGTTCGAGGCTTGGCCCATGAATCATGTTTGTTTATTACTTGTGTAACATGATCTTAAAACTGAAGTTTCTACCAGGCAACAAGGCATAATAGAGGTACAATTCCAGAAGAAGGTGCCAAACCATGTCATGAAGATTTTCGAAGTGGATGGCCGCGAGAACCCATGGGGCCTTCTTGGGCTTCTTACCTCCATCAAAGATAGATGCAAGGGGGAGTCTGGGTGGGTCAGTCGGTGAAGCCTCTGCCTTCAGCTCAAGTCATGATCCCAGGGTCCCGGGATCGAGCCCCGCATCAGG